AAATTTGCGTGACCTTGTGTAGGTTAGTTCCAAATGCTCTTTGAAATTCAAATAGAATTTTTATAGTCCCAAATTCCATAAGATTGCTGCCATTTGCAAACTACGGGAGTTATGCATTTTTGGGGAGGGGTAGTAAAAATTTAAGTCTGAAGAGGATATGGCATTTTTTCTTCACTACCTGATTTTAAAGTCTGAGTATACTCCACCTGCAGCAATCAAGAGGTCTTTTAGGTCTCTTAAGGCAAGGAAATTTTTCACAACCCCTATACGAGGCTGGATGACCCTCTTTTCCGCAGTTGCAGCACTTAGAGACGTCTAAGCATCCTTTATCGCAGTCCTGAGTATTATGATGTATAGCGCATTTCACATAAATATGACGATTCTCCGAGGAGTGGTGCCATTTCTGGCACTTGAAGTACTGTGGAACTTGGAATTTCAAAACATATTTTTCCACCGTAATTGAAAACAGACACAGGTCAGTCAGTTTATGGATTTGATTAATTATTTCATTTTTAATAATTGTACTTGAAATAAGGGCATGGGGGCCCGAGTCCGATTTTTTGTCAGCTGCACTACTTTGTGAACCTTGAATTCTTGCTTAACTAACTCATCTTTGATTTCGGAGACCTCCTACAGAGTAACCTCTCTCAGTATCTCTTAACAGGCTTTCATTTGCTATCGCTCAAAATGATCCACGCCTTTTTCAAAAAAGTCAGTTAGACCCCCGTTACGCTGGGGATAGTTCATCAAAAGTAGAGCGTAATGCGAAAACAGCCCTAACCTGCTATCTTACTGTAAATAATTGGTTAGGGGAAGATGGATAGGAAATCGGTTAGGTATTAAATTGATATTTTTTTTAAAAAAAAAACCAAACATTTATTTCTATACAAAATAAAAACATATAAACGAATATACTTATAAAAACATAAAATATCAGTCAGACATCATCTATTCTGTGTTCCAATTTCTGCTTTTTGTCAAGAAGGCATTAGATTATTACTGAATGGCATTTGCCGTTCAATTGTCTCCAATCCATAGACGTAGAATTTTTTCCATTTCCGCTATAATGTTATTTCTAGAACGGGTAATCTAGTTGCAGAACTTGATGCAGTTGCCGATGAAAGTATTTTTTCTTATATCTTAAGATTGTTCTATTGTTGAAGTTGCCAATTCAATGCCACTAATTTGAGATGACGTTCACCAATCACCTTTAATAATCTGTGCATTTCATTTCCGTTAATTCATTTTTCTGGTTGCTTTCTTTCTTGTTTTTATTATACCCATTAAAAATAAAATATTTGTCATAATATTGTTACTTATGAATTTTATACTTACAATACTCACCAATTAATCAAAAAGAGAAAATGATACGCACCGCACCATCAAGCAACCGCACCAACAAAAACAAACTACACTGTTCGGACATGTTATTTGAAAACCTCGCGCTGCGCACAATTTCGGGGAATCCCTGGGTTGAAATAAAGAGCGCTAAACCGAAACAGCGTTAAGCGGGGTCTTACTGTATTTACTCAATGATCATTATCAGTGCGGGGTAGAACCTTTAGATATTCACCACTCAGACAGAATAAAAACTTGATATCAGGCAGTTTGGTGGCTACGTCCTTAGCAAACTTATTAAACTTAACGTTTGCCTCTGGCCTAACCATTATGGGGGGGGGGAGGATTACATATTGAACAACAGTAGGGGGCCTGCTGTTCAGAACTACTAGTATTTACATTTATAGATGAAATATTTGCAGATACATTTGAGTTTGAATTAGCTACATCATTATTTTCAGGCTGAGAATTGCTTTCACAGTCTGGAGTTACACTGTTATCAACATTTGCATGACTTTAAATTTTAGATGTGTAGTTGCACAAAAAGTCTTATCTTTAGGAGCTCTAGCACTTTTATTAGGTTTCTTAAACATATTATCATTTTCAGAAAGATCAGAGTCACTTACATTACTTTTTCTCTTAGATGTGTTGCCCAGTTCAGGACCATGTGCAACAGAATTAGGCTTAATACTTACGGTACCATCATTACGGTTATTAGAGGTTAATTTGGAACGACCTGCTAGGTATAAATTGCACTTACCTTCTAATTCGGAGAATTTGTCTGTTGAACAGCTTTATTCCATCAAGAAATCCCATCGTGAAATTGTCCAGTTCAGTACAGTCCCTTTTAGCCCACCTTTCATGCAGAGTACTTTTCACAATACAATATCACATTGATATTTTAGTTTAGCAATTTTAGCTTGTGCAACATGTAATAAAGTTCATATCCAAATTCACCTGAGCAGAGGTAGCGAGATCAACCCGAGGTAACGCGGGGAGATCATCCCCGTCCGCAGCGTCTGAATCAGAATCCATTGCACAGGGAAAAGCTCAGAAAACACACACCTTCACACTAGGCGACTAACACGTGATCTGTCCACGTTCTTTGGCCATAGCACTGTCTCGAAAGATGTGATCAAGTGTTGTGCGTGCAGTCATTATTCATTGAACTCGAGTCATATTCCAAACAAAAATGTTCGAGTCCAGACAGGTCGTATACTGAGGTACCACTGTATTTTTTCAAGTATAAGCCTATTTATACCTAATAATATCAAAAATTGAATATTTGGAATTTGAGAACAAAATCAATAGTTGGAAGTTATTTAGGAAACATTTATTTAAAGAAAAACAATTCATCTTTGATTTCTTACAGACCTGATTTTAAAAAACCAGCAAGAGCAATGAGTGAGAAAAGGGAAGAAAATCTTATTATTTTTACGACTGTAATGATGATGATAGTTACTGCTTACTGGAAAAGTAAAGAATGATATTTAATGTACTCTAAATAAATATATATAAGAAAATTGGAAATGATGTTAAAAACAAACACCTTTCAATAAAATTACTTGAAAAGTGAATATATAGATAAAAATTACTATTCTGTCTACTTTCTACTACAGTCAAAAGTCGTTAATCTGGACTCGTCGGGACTTCAGTGATTCCGGATTATAGATCATCAGTTTAAATCTGGTAGGATGGCATGCAGAAATTATAAAATTAAAAATATGAAACCATAATTTATGAAATAAAGAACAATTATGATCTAAAGGGTATCAAAATTTACAAAAAAAGCTTAATATTTATTTGTTTACACTTTATTAAACATTCTTTCAATGTAAGTTTATTAAGTTGCTTCATTTATGTGATAATACTTTCTCTTTAATTCTATTAAACAGACATAATTTCTTGTTTAGTTACAAAGTTCCGCTGTTCAAGTCCTATAATTGCTGTGTCGAGAATACGGACTAATTTGTCAATCGAAAATTTTTTGCTTTCAATAACCTCTGTGTCACTTTCTTCACTATCGGAAGCGTGTTATAATGATTAGGAATTTGATTTAAATCATATCAAAGACAGAGTACATCGAGATGAAATACTGCATTTAGTAAGGAATTATAAGCCAAATAAAATAAAAACATCTGCCCTGAAGATAAGGATATTGCTGACAGATCAACTTCCAATTCATTGCGCGCCGCGGCGTTTCCCCCCCGCGCAGAGCAGCGTGAAATTGATAAACAGATTTCGGAATGGTTACAGAAACAAAGGATATGCCTTTATCCATTTTTTGCAGCAACTCCACTTTTTGTTTAATGGACTTCGAAACATACTTTCACTTTGTAGATCCTTTACATATTAATAAATATATATCGGAAATTCTATTTGACATAATCGAAAGTTCAAGCTTACTTTTATAAAATTGCTTTAACAGTCTGCAAAAAATAATAAGCTGGATCCAATTCGAAGATTTAGGAACAATGCAATCTGCTACATTAACTGAATTAGATAATTTTAGCTTAGCTTATACCGTCCATTATACATTAAACGTGCATGCGTAAACGTATTATGCGCATGGGTCAACGCGAGACATGCGCAGAAAGTTTGTAGCTTTGAGGTCCGGATTATGGGTGTCCGAATTAACAACTTTTGACTGTATAAAATTGAATTGGGTTCTAAATTAAATCAGTCAACATGAATTTCAATTTTCCGTAATGTAAACCAAAAATGTTTTCTGCACAAAGACGCTCTGAAAATTACTGCCTTTTCAATTTTGTTATATAACTGAAATTTCATTATGATCATTATGTTTTAATGTTGACAATGACTTTTCACTTAACTCTTCAAATATTCGATTAGAATGTGAAATATGCATATGAAACAGGTGTTGGAGATGAACTGCTAGCAGCAACAGAATGATTAACGAATGTAAAGAATTTCGGTAAGCTATCCAGCTATTATCTCTAAAATCTTTATCGAGAGCCTTTTGAAAAGGATTTCTGAACCAAAAGCCTTTTTGTTTAATGAGCATAAATAATATTTCAAAGTCTTTACAGCATACAGAACAAGTCTCAAACTTTTTTGCTTTATGCACCCGTTCCATTGCTAGACGATCAATCCCCCCCCTCATTTCCAAAACTCTAAACATATATACATATATTTACACTTAGATTATTTTTTTAATGTGTTTTATACATTAAAATGTTGATAAATACCAAAATGTAAAGTAGTTTTTTATATTCATGAAGTAAAACTAAATCCTTAACAAGAAAACTGTCGAGTCTATCACGATGTGCTTGTAACTGCCTGTTATAATTAGCAGCTGAAATGAGCCCCAAGGAGAAAACAATGAGGTAACACTTGAACATTGCAATTATTTTGCACTTTTGGAAGGCCAAGTGTCTAATCTCACAAAATATAAAGGCTTCTTCCATCTTTATGAATGCATCGTGATGACTATTTACAGAGAGCATACTTTAATCATCATTTTTCTGTTCTTAATCTCCACCAAGCAGTTTATTCTTCTTGCTGTTCTATACAAGAAGGTATTCTACAACTGTTCAACACCTTAAATTGCAATGGGAACTAACATTTCTGGGTAATATGTTGCTGCCTGAAACTTCTTATGCAAATAAATAAGAACAATTACAAGTCTTGTGAAGGTTAAAATAACCTTTTTATTCAATCAGAGCTTGGAACATAAATGAACACTTTTGTGCTACAATAACCACAATTCATGGTGTTGCACATAAATTGAACAATCCAAATTTAATTAAACATTGAAAAATAGTTGAAGAGTATACAATTAAATACAACACTAGAAAATGGCTCAATAACTCTATCAGAGCATCAGAATTACTAGCAGCTAGAGAATGAAAAGCCAAATAATTACAACTATCAGAGCTGGCAGGAAACCTACCATGCAGTGCACACACAGTGCTAGAAACACTCTCTCTTTCAAATCCAAAAACTTCAGTTTAAATATTCACAATTAATTTGCATTCCAGTGAAGAATAAGGAAAGATGAAGTTATAATAAAGGCTGAAAGCATAAGATTCCTTACAACACGTTATTTAAGACTGACAATGAAAATTTAATTACAAAGAGAACTTTAATCTAAAAATACACAAAATAATATGTTCATGAGCTAAAGTATTTAACAGAACCTAAACACACATTATGTTTTCTTTAACACAACTGAAGCTAACTGCTAAAAATGGAATGTTATTTTCTAATTCAGAACTTATTGCAGAAATTAATATGTATTCACTGTATGCTGCATTTATGCAAATTCAGAGTATCAGATTAATCATACTAATTAGCTAAAATTGAATTTGATAAAACACAAGTATTTTAAAACATTTAGCCAAATTAACTAGTTTCTGCAGCTCTAATCAAATTTGAATTTATGTTTTTCCAATAAAAACTACAGAAATACTTTCCTGCCATACAAACATAAATTTTGAATGTATCACATATGTATTATTTGGTTGAAAAAAGCAAGCAAAAATAAAAATCACACATTAAAAATTAATCACTTTTTGTACCTGAAGGTTATACAATGAATTTAAAGGACTTTCTCCTGAGAAAATACTGATTGCTTCAAAATTATGAGGGGTAGAATGAGAATAAGTTATGCAATGTTGTTAAGAGAAGGAAACTAAAGTATCATGGCATTTGAAATTTCTTTTAAGTATAAGAAAGCATCAAATATATTTGTACACATAAATAAAATAAATAAATAAATAAATAAAAAACTATCATCTTAAAACCAGATGTTTCAATAAAAATTAGGTTAGGATAATTTATCGCTAAAAATGATTAGGATATTTATCAAACATTTTATGAACATTCTACTAACCGTCACCAAAAATGTCTTGACTTGCTACACGTTTTATCATACTCACTTGGGAGGATTTTCTAGTTGTAAAGATACTTTAAACATTACCAGGTAATGCTGTAAACATATATTGAAAATAAAATTAGAATATTTATAGCTTCTACTTATATCGAGAAAACACACTATGCTAAGAAAACATTAAATGTACATATACTTTTAGCAAAACTAAAAACCATTTTATGAAATTCACATAATAATATATGTTTATTTACATCAGCATGTACATATATACAAAATATTTAATTATGTACAAATTCATGTTAAAAATTTAATATATCACAATTATTTTATGAAGAACTGAAATGGAAGAAAGCATAAGCTCTTCGAATAAGTATGCACAGTTAGAAGCAACTTGATTTCAATGATTGTCCCCGCATAGTTTTTTCCTCTTTCATTACGTATGACTTGAATAACCTGTTAAAAAAATGAATAAAAAATTAAATTCTAATGCTGCTGTGATGAAAAATATTTTGCAATTGAAACATCAGATGTGAGTAAATAAAAATGAACCCAAATTATTGCAAAACAGTACATTAATCAATTGAAGTGCTTTGTCAAAGAGTTTAGATACGCAGCTCTGCGCCATTTGCAAATGGAAGTTCAGTTTCATCTGACTGAAAAGTCGCACAGCAGACTGATTACATTGGTTGTCTAGATTATCCAATTAAATGGTAGGAGAATTCTTACTCTAAATCACAGACTGGGGCTTATGATGCTCCAATTCTGAAATTGTCTAGAGCTAAAATTACATACTATCATAGCTATTACTCTGGAAAAGCAACAAGCAGCACAGATCTAACTAGGTTACTGGATGAATGTCACATAACAACATGCAGATATGTCTAAAATCGTACAACTAGTGTACAAATTAAAGAAATACTATTTACTTGAGATTATTTTTACTCAATTAACAATATAATAATAACTTCAGCTAGCATTTAGTTAATGATTTAACAGATATACAACAGGTAAGAATTGCAAAAAATTCTTCATTAATACTTATTATTATTCCTGCATCCTTTACATTTATGTATTTAATATAATAGCAAAACCCTTTTAAACAGCTTTAAAATTGTAACTCTTATATACATTAATTTATTTTAAATTTCAAATGAACTGCACTTGTTCTGCAAATCTAAAAAGAATTCTAGGTGAACATAAACTACATCAGCAAAGCTAAAATAGTTGTAGGCTAGAGATTTCTTAAAAGAGTTTGCAAATATTAAATATTATTAAAACAAAGATAAAAAAAAGAATTACTGTGATAAGAAAATGAAATTACAGAGATTTAACTATAATGCACTATAATAAATACCTTTCTTCTTTTTGAGATAAAATGTATCCACTATTAAATTGCCATCTTTATCTTTAATTCTAATCCTTCCATTAGCATACCGTGATTCTTGTCTTCCACTTTTATACACAATTTTAACAGATCCATCTGGATATTCCAGTCGCTGAAAGATTGTTGTTTTCATATAACTATTAGGCATACATACCAAGAAAAAGATATAATTATGAAATACCACACCAGTCTGAATATAAGGCTGTATCACTTATAAGATAACTATAAAATTTTGAAGACATTTTGCAAAGTGAATAAGACTTGCATGCGAGATGGCTTTTTAACATATGAACTTGACTTAATATATAGCTTCATAATTATTGCCACTTTTAACATATGATTTTGCTGCTATTCATTGCAAGTGGGGTGTCATTACCCACAAAAAATCGAATTTGCCTTTATCCATTTATTGCAGCACATCCTCTTTCTGCTCGATTAACATCAAAATATGCTTTCGCTTTGCAGATCTAGAAGGAACTTCGGAATTATAAACACACTATGTAGTATAATCGAAAATTCAGATTTTAACTTTGATAAGATAGTTATAACAACAATAGTGTGCAAAAAAAAGGCAGGGCCAAATAAGTAGATTAAGAAAGAACGCAATTTACTAAATTAACTGAACTTAAGTTCTATGGAAAAGTTAACTATACTATTACACCATTCTAGACACTGGATATACGGGTTTCGAACTCGATACTGTAAGAAGAGAATCACTAAGAAAATGTGTTTTTCATGTGGCTTTCATTCATCTTTTGATGGTAATTTTACAACTGAAATTATAGCATAAATGCAAAAGTTATTTATTAACTAATAAGTGAAATAAGATGAATGCATTTTAACAAATGATTATAAGCAACTAAAATTTTTAAATAATTAAAAATTTGGATACTATGTCCATAATTTTAAAAAACGAAACTTGCAAAGACAATTTTAGCAGCATTTACAGGACACTATTATTAAATTATTAAATGGTCACCATTCAGATCTCAATTTTAGTAGTTCTGCAGGTATGAAAAGATAACCATTCCTTAAAAAATGGAATGTACAGCTCACCCTTAAAAATATTAGTTTTTAACTTCAGTACAGTATAGTTGAAAATTAGTGTTTATAAACGAAGCAGGTGTAATAATTAATTACTACTGTTATGAGATAACAAGACAGTAATGATTGAAAATTTTGATGATTACCAGAGAGTTAACTACACAGATAGTAGTAGCTATCTTTGCATTGATTAAATATAATCAACCTTCTTGTAGCAACCATCTCTGAAAATGACTAAAACTTCTGAAAACATATATAGACACTGATATTGAACCTCACCTCTCTTAAAAGAGCACCTCCACAGAAGATCAAACTTATCTGGAGCCATATGTGGCCTTCTTAAAGAGGCATTGTGCAGTAAATTCAGGTAAGTAATATGGCACTAGTGTAACAGCAGCAAAAAATCTCACAACGACAAAGAATTCACAACTGAAACTGAACATCAATTTAGGGAGCTTGTGAAAATTTACCCTCATCGAAACTCAGGAATCTAATAAATAAAATTGTAATGAGGTAAGTTAACTTTCTTTTCATTTAATATGTAAATAAACTTACTTTATTTTTGTTGCCTATTCCCCCTTTTTTTAACTAATTTTATCATCTGAAATTTGAGAGAGGAAAATTATGCGAGTCATTAAATTTTCAAAGAACAGAGTTACAATAAGAATATAGCAAATGAAAAGTAGTCACAGATAAACTGCTGGTAACTATCACTATATTATTTCTGTATAAGAAAACTTCATTCCAATAAGAATAGATACTAATATTAACATTACAATATCTGATGGTAATTGGGCCAGACATGCCATACAGCACAACATGTCCAGCTCAACTATCCTGTAAAACCTCAATCACATTATGTTTCCGCTACATGGGACTTCGACATCGAGAGGGACAATTCTCAGAACCCACACAATTCTAGGAAACCCACATAGCTAGGTTACCATTTTCACTTACTACAAAAACTCGAATGCCAAACACTAATCGATTATCACTCAGATTGGGATCACATGATGCTTCAAAAGCAGAGCTTGTCTGATTGGTTGTCTCTACCTGGGACAGAGGTCCAGCCGAGACATTTTCGGCAAAGTTTGAAAAACATCCTGCGTAGCAGCAACATCGTTTCCGTAGCTAGGTGGGACTTCGCTTCAGGCGGGGCTGTTTTTTCTAGGAATTCTCCCGTTTAAACCAGTGTTACCAGAAACTCCTTCTCCAGAAAAGTCCCGTCTAGCAGGGACTGTAGCCATGTGTGATAACCTCTTAAAGACTCACATGAATATGTCTCAACCTCAGCTCCCAAGAGGGACACTGGAGGAATAAAGGAGAAGGGAGGCAAACAAAAGAAATCAGCAATAGATAAGGCTCCAATAAGCTGGGATGTAAATAAAATAAATAGTCACATGTAAAGTTTCTTAAGTGTGACAACAACTGCCAAGTCTGTGTAGCTTAAAAAAGAATCTGCATAAAATCTCTTTCAAATAATAAATGCAAAGAAAAATAAAATGGAAAAAATGCTAATACACACGGAATAAAATTAAAAATAATCAATTTCTCAACAAACAAACCCTCAGAGGAAAAATTATGTGAATATTTTTAAAATTTTCAGAACCTAGTGCTAAAACGCTAGGAGGAGGGTAATTGTTTCTAAAATTGTAAAAGTACATGGTTGCGAGTTGGGTTGGGACAACGAACCATACACATGACAAGAGGGTTAGCTATACTCCAGTCCAGTCCATGTGCTGGTGGTGGTCGTGGGGAAATCACGGCAGTTAAAAAGATTTAACACATTTTTAGATAATCAGTCTGTCTGTATGAGACAGGTTCAAAAATTATTTAAAAAGAAAATAACTGCACTAGTCTTAATGTAAAGCAGTTATTTTCTCCTGAAGTTATTTCCTGCTTTACATTAAGACTAGTGCAGTTATTTCTTAGTTACATATAATTAAAACTTAAATGAATATAGTTTGAATTATTTTACTTTATAATCAGGCGTTCCAATTCCTCTTTGCCCATTTTTATATTCAATGATTTGTCTTCCATCTGCAAGCAGGAAAATCACAGTTCCATCTGCTTGCCGAATTTCTAGAGATTCATCAAGATGATAGTTATGAATGGTTCCATCTGGAAATATGATTTCTTTATGGCCATCAGGATACCGCTTCTGAATTTGGCCACTATACATATGATAAAAAAAAATCTGAATCAACATCAGAAAACTTTTAAATAATTAAAACTTAAGTTGATGAAAGTGTTTGCCAATCTTCAGAATCGGTAATACAGAAGCTGTTCACACATTTTTTAGACGGTGTATATTGCATTCACAAACCTAAATTACATAAAATTCTTGTGTTTTAAATGTTCTATATGACATCCCTTATTCTGAACTATCTTTCGACACCACAATTTCCAGGATAATAATGCCTTTTGAAGTGGCAGAAGAGGTATTCTATCCCAGTCCTCCCAAACAGCTTTCCAGAGTCCTGTTAGGGTTTTGGGACAACGTTTGGGTAATGCAGTTTTTAAAAGTCCGAAAGCACAAAAATCCATAGATGACACATTGGGAGATTTAGTAGGGATATCAGTGAAGGCTATGGCCTTGATACCAGTTTTTTGTTCCATTTCTTTTAGGAAATTTACAGTGGAGTTTGATGTGCGATTGCTAGCTTTGTTCTGATGGAGTCTCACAGATTGATGGCACTGTGGGTAAAGCGATGGTATTTCATTCAGAAAAATTGGCGATAATATATGTTCCTGATAGTATTTGGAGTTAATCTTGACATTTTTTTGCACTCTCTTTATTTTTAACTTGCCATTATAAGAAAAACCAGCAACAATCATGAATCCCTTAGAAAAACTTTCTTTTGATTCTTTGAACCATGTACTTAAATATTTTTCTCCCCTTTTATGATAATAAATGGCTCTTTTTTTGTTACAATCATTTAAATACACCCATGCTTCATCTATTGTGACAACTGTTTTCCATTTTTCTTTGTATAAGTGTTTCTCATATAGAATTCTGCAGCATGTCCTGCATAGAGCGATATGCTTTGGAAGAAGACGATGCACATTGCGTTTTTTCGCTTTCTTAATATTTAAATCAACATTTATCATTTTGTTTACAGTGGACACCGAGCAATTTAATGATTTTGCAACTGTCTTTTGACTAGGGGGATTTTCATTTAACATTAAACAACGTACCTTTGCAATAGTCGAAGATGTCCGTTTTTTCTTTGGATACTTGTTTGGAATTTTTGTCCTACTTGAGGCTCCAATTTGACGTTTTTTCATTTCTTGTTGATGATATTACCTATTGACGCTTTAGATATCACAAAACCATGACTCTCACATCGTTTTTGGATAATGAAGTATGCATATTTCTCTTCGGAAAGAGCGTTAATGTAGCCTTCGAACTACTGCTTTGTTAAATTTGCCATTTTGAATAAAAACAAAACTTTCAAGCCACAGATGATAATTTTGACTTTTAAAAACATAGTACAACTGCAATTACTTCTTTTGCAGCAAACAATTTTTTATTACCGCTTACCAAAATCGTCTAAAAAATGTGCGAACAGCCTCTGTATAAGCCAAATGTGAAGTTTATGATTAGTTTTGACTATACATTGAATTCTGCAAAATATATCACATAAATACATTAACTAGTTGGCACTAATAATTCAATAACAAACACAGACATCCTTAATTTTAAAATCATTTCACCAATCATTAAAATCTAAGTATTCAGGGAGTAATCTTTTCTTTCAGCATACAATTTAATTAAGTAATTTTGTACATTGAAAAATAAACTTTCATGCTTTGGGTGCACTTTATACAAAAGATTAGTGTCAAGAGTTTTGATAAGAAGCGTATGGGTCAGAATATAGCATCTTTTGAAAACAAAGGACCTTGAATTACAAAATAATCCCCACTCAGTAGAAATTTTATAATACAAGGATACGAGAATGGGTTGAGTGGTTAGTTAATTGACTGAAGCAAAGGTACAGATATCTGAATAAACAGTGAAATGTCTTTGTGAAGGACTTTCTGCGGGAAACTAGCTTGCATTTGTGTTATGTATGGGAAAAATAAAACCAACAAAGTGTGAAAGAAATCAAAATCAGTAAGAGGCATTAGATATGTTACAATATGAGTTATTTAATACCTTACGAAATCACCATAAAAGCATTACACGTACATAAAAATAATTGTAAAGTACTGAATGAAACAACTGAAAGTTACAATCAATTGATATTACGACTGAAATTAACATCCCTTTATTTTAACGTACGTTTCTCTGTAGTTAGTTCCTTAAATTTGAAATGCATTTTTTTTTTCTGTAGCTAGTACCTTACATATCAAACTTAATGCATTTTTTTCTGTATCTAGTTCCTTACATTTGAAAGGCCTTCAGCTGACTCAAAGATTACTTCAGAAGTTCCTGTTCATTTGTTATATTCTCATTCCTTAATATTTTTCTGAATTTTTGAACTCACCCTATTTAACTTTTATGTGGTTTTGCAATTAGTATATGCATATCATTATTTAAGTTCATGCAAAACAAAACACATCTGTAAACTGAAGAGCTTTGAATTTGCATTTTAATAAAGCTTTGGTCTCTAACTTGTCAAACACCTATAATATAAGCATAACTTAAAATTCTATACTATGATTGTTTCAGTTGAAATAGTGTCACTATCTTAACTTACGTAAAAATGATATTTTATGAAACCAATTTTTCACTAAAATGAACAAAGGGAAAAGTTAATTATCACTAACCAACCCAATTTAATCAGTCTGTTCCTGGAAATACAAATAAAGGCATGACATCATCCAAAGGCAGGGCAAGCATATGGTTATACAGTCAAAAGTCGTTAATTCGGACACCCATAATCCGGAATGATCTATAATCCGGACCTCAAAGCTACAAACTTTCTGCGCATGCGTCGCGTTCACGCATGCGCACAGGCGTTTACGAGAGCACGTAAGACCCTTACGGCTGCGAATATGTTTGTGCGCATGCGCGTTTAAATTGTAACGGAGTTATACGCTAAGCTAATGTTATCTAATTCAGTTAATGTTGCCGATTGCGTTGTTCCTTAATCTTCGAATTGGATCCGGCTTATTATTTTTTGCAGACTGTTAGAGCAATTTTATAAAAGTAAGCTTGAACTTTCGATTATGTCAAATAGAATTTCCGATATATATTTACTACAAAGCGAAAGTATGTTTTGAAATTCGAAATCTGTTTACCAATTTCATGCTGCTCTGCGGCAGAAGGGGGGAGGCAGAAACGTCATTATTAGATTATGATAGATTAGAAAGATTATGTCAAATAGAATTTCCGATATATATTTACTAATATGTAATTTGTATCTACAAAGCGAAAGTATGTTTTGAGATCCGAAATCTGTTTATCAATTTCACACTGCGGATTGGAAGTTGATTTGTCAGCACTATCCTTATCTTCAGGGCAGATGTTTTTATTTTATTTGGTTTATAATTCCATACTAAGTGTAGTATTTCATTCTGTCTTTGATATGATTTAAATCAAGTTCCTCGTCATTATAATTCGCTTCCGATAGTGAAGAAAGTGACCCAGAGGTTATTGAAAACGAAAACATTTCGATTGACAAATTAGTCGGTATTCTCAACACAGCAATTATAGGACTTGAACAGCGGAACTTTGTAACTAAACAAGAAATTATGTCTGATTAATAGAATTAAAGAGAAAGTATTATCACATGAAACGAAGCAACTTACATTGAAGGAAATGTTTAATAAAGTAAACAAATAAATATTAAGCTTTTTCTTTTTGTAAATTTTGATGCCCTTTAGATCATAATTGTTCTTTATTTCATAAATTACGGTTTCATATTTTTAATTTTGTAATTTCTGCATGCCATCTTACCAGATTTAAACTGATGATCTATAATTCGGAAAAATCGATAATCCGGAATCGCCGAAGTCCCAACGAGTCCGGATTAACGACTTTTGACTGTATTTCCTCATAAATTTCTAATTTTTGCAAATTAAGGTTTTGACTTGAGTTTTTTAATGTCAAAGTATAATTGGAAGAATCCTTGAACTGAAAAGCTGTCGGCATCTTAAGGAGGACAGGCAATTACAGATATGGCAAAATAATTGACGATTTTTAAACAAACAGTTACTGCCCTCTGTGAACTGTTGCCAGGAAGTTAAGAAAAGATCATAAAAGAAAATAACTGCTTCTCAAAACTAGTTTTGTCCATTGTAAGAGGAACTTGACTATTATAGAGCTAAAATTAGAGCTTATATTCATAACTGGAATTTTTGTATTACAGCAAATTATATATAAAACACCTAATGAAAGTGTTTATGCCTAAACACTTTTTGTTTTACTGACCTCATAATAAATGAAAGATTATTTGAGTTGATGCTGAGAACATGAAGAGCTAGAATTTACAACAATAGACTAGTATTCTGTCAAGCCATGAGGTTCCCTGTTTCTAAACACATTTACATCTGAAAAGTCAGGGATACAAAATATTCCTATCAATGTTAGAGTTAGGTTATTTGAATATGAGACACTACACAAGGGCTGCCTGCCTAAAGGGAGGGATGTCTTTGTAGGACTTTAGAAGGAAACCTGTTTGTATTCACATTACACATGGGAAAAAACAACCATGTAGCCAGCCTATTCATCTAGTTTAAAGCTGTAGCTAATTGCAGTACTCGGCAGTCTCTGACTGCTCGGTTATTGGTTGGGCCCTCAATGCCAGGGAATATGGCCCCTATAAAAGTGCAGATATAATGATATGGACATAAAAAATGGTTAATGAATGCAATGGATGTATTCAGTGCTTACTTTCTAAAATTGGAAGTGGAGCCTTATTGAAGATGGTAAAAAATGAAGGAAAAAATAAATAATTAAGCCAAAATTAAAAGAAATGTAACGCGATAAAATGAAAATTAATAAATTACTAAATTAATTATAAATAAATAAAAAATTAATTATCGGACTTCGTGTTATTTGAGGCTCAGGCCGGAATTCCAATTCCATTCAGAAGGTAACAAATAGCTCAGCTGATCTCCGCCTAAATTTAAGCCCTGATTATACATATAATGTACTATTTCAAGGGATGATAGATACTAAAACCATTCCTTTCTAATGGAAAAAGATAAACCGGTTAAAGCATTACAAAGGGGAATAGTGCGAATTCTAGAAACAGTATGAGGATATGGAAGGAAATTTTAGCACAAAAACATAGCTTTGAAAATAAAGAGGGAAGAATCCAAGACTTTCTGATCATGATGCACATCCGATATAATTCTAACCATGAAACTGAAATTTTACCTGAATACTGGCTGATAACAACGTAGCAATAAATATATGACTCCTCTATACAAGTGACAGTAGTGGTTCTCTGCATTTGATACAATCGTTCAAAAAGTCTACAGGAGCTCTGGAGTCATTAGTGTGATACATGCAAGACCAGGGTGGTCACTTTTAGTACTTTCAGGAGGGAAAAATTAATGTGCTCTCATAAATTCTTTGCACTTCAAGTCTCAATCTTTCCCCTAGTCCGAGGGAAAGACAAGCCTGCATTCAGAACTTAAAATCAATTTTTATGGCATATTCATTATTAAAACAAGACTTATTGCTGAAACTTGAAAAGTGCCAGAGCCCTTTCATTTAGGGCTCTCTGACTAAAATTATGATTTATCTCAAAAACTCAGTAGTACTGGAGATGAGCTCCAGTGGGCTCTGTTTAAGCTCTGGATGTATTTCACTGCAAATGCTCAATAGAGGAACTGGTATGTTCGAAGATATCAAAACAAAGCTTACAATTCCACACTTTGGATGTGACTTTTATGGGAAAAGGAATATGATAATGAATGTCAATGGCCAACATTGAGCAGACTTGTTTGATAAGCTTCTTAAAATTAACCTTTTAACTGTCATGCCCGAGATAATCTCGGGCACAGCACTAGTGTTCGAAAATGTCACGCCCGAGTATTACTCGGGGTAATTTTTTTTTGAGTGCATCGTATTGTTATACCCGAATATATATCGGGAGACTGTTTATTTCAGGCTTCATCTCTTTGTCAAACCCGAACTGTATCTCCGGGGAAAAGTTAATGTGCGCTCAGTTCAATAGATGACAGCACTTTAACTGAAGATTTCAAAGGTTAGAGGTTTAAGTGCTTTGGTTTAAAGTGCATGGGATCTTTTTGTTGTAAAATAGGCGTCTTCTTTCTTTGAAATGTTATATAGAGATTTAGATTCTTCAACCCAAGATGAAAGGATGTGTGTTTGATGAGTAGTATTCATGATACTTCCATGGTCAGCCTCAAAAATAAAAAAAGGAGATATACTCAAGCCGAAGATTGTTTCTAATTATGGTCTAACTATGGGTGGTGTAGATCGCTGTGATCAGGAAATATCCTTTCATCCAACAATCCGAAAACGTCAGATAATATATTATAAAAAGATATTTTTACATTTACTAGACAAGGTACTCTGGAACTCATATTTGCTCTATAAAAATGTAGTTGGGAAACGTATTACATTTTTAGAATTTTTGAATCCAAGTTGCAGAAGAGCTTTTACATAAATATGATGATGCAGCTTCTGGACAAAAGAATGTTGGCAGACCACCTACAATAGATAACCCTGCCCGTCTTACTGAACGACATTTTATATCCCATTTTCCTCCTATTCCTGCGAAACGTGAGCCTACAAGACAGTGCAAAGTGTGTTGTTCGAAAAAGGATAAAAATGGGGAAAAGATAAGGAAGGAATCACGATTCTGGTGTAGTGATTGTGGAGTTGGTTTGTGCTTGGAAAAGTGTTTCCAGTTGTACCACATAAGACTGAATTACTGAACTACTAATAGGTATTCACTTATATTTATTTATGTTTTAGAAAATAGTTAATTTTTTTCTATTTTTAGAAAATAATGCTCCACTAGAAGCGAACTTTGCAACTGCCATGCTGAGTGACAGCTGCCTCAAAAAAAATATGCAGTGGCTACAAAACTTTAAAAATTTTACTCATGTACGTCAAAATATCAATTTTTAACTACTTAAGAATATTTTATTTTGTACTAAACATTTGGTTTTTGCAATAAAAAAATTTGACAATTTGTGTACCCAAATCATCAAAATAACTTGACAGTTAAAAGGTTAAATGCATCAAATGAATAAAATGGGGAGCCAAATTTCTAGTTGGAATGCAGAATTTCATACAGAGTTTATGAGAAACACAGTGTTATGGCAACACTGTCATAATTTCTGCAAACCTCTGATTAACCACCTCATTGAGGGCTTAAAATCTTATTATCACACATTTGTATAGGCCACATTCATTTTTAATCTTGAAGTCTACATTTGCCACCAAAGTATTCATTTTTTCCAAAAATTTTTAATCATTAATATTATTTTTATTTTATTTTTTTCATGTTACAGTTTTGGGTAACTGCTTTTAACCCTCCAAATGGGGAATCAGGGAATAATGTGTTTACCATTCTGAATATAAACAGGGAATGCTCCTGTTGGCAGAAACTGGGATTTCAACTGCGATAAGTTTTTCAGGAAAAAAAGATATGATTTTTTTTTTACACTTTTATTAATTTGAACCCATTGTCAGAGGGTTAAAACTCAGTGTCTCAGTTTGTATTTATACATTGTGATGCTATGTATAGTAACTTTATTTAATTTTAATCCAATAATTTTTGAGAAATCAGTACTTCTAAGCATGTAATGATAATTTTGAAAACTAGCGCATGTGATATATAATAATACAAATATGATTAAATTATAATAAAAAAAGATTAAATTTTTCTAAAATATATACAGGTCAACAAAAACATTTAAATGCTTTTTAGGCTGAAGCAAACAAGTTTGGAATTTTTGAAACATTGTTGAATTATAGTGCCAAGAATAATCAAAATTTGTAAATATCAACAGCAGCAACTATAATAGGTTTATATCAACAAGATTTAATTTATACAATAGAATGGGATCATATTTAATTATAATACGCGAGTCACATACTGCTACCTAAGTACAACCCTATCTTATATATAAACATTATACATTTATGAGAGTTTGTTGAAAAAGTATTTACTTAATTGCACTTAACTGTAAATAAATAAATATGAGGCTATATTTTACTGTTTTTAAAACTACACTGAAAAATTAAAAAAAGGGGGAAAGTTAAAAATGAAATTAGTATTACAATTCGACATAATGATATGATATATAATTATAATACAAATAAAAATTCAGAAAGCTACTCAGTCTCAACATTTTTCTCTAGTACTCATATATTTATAGATCTATATACATATGGTGTAATTTAATTACATACTAAAATTATAATCTTCCAATGTATTACAAAAATGCAAAGGAAAAAAATGAGAATCAGTAGTAAGAACAAAAGTAAAAAAAAAAAAAAAAAAAAAAAAAAAAACTTACTCATGAAGTTCTGTAATTTCTAAACCATCAGGTAAAGTTTTCTCAATGATTCCATCGGCAAATCTATAAATCTTAAAAATATTACATGGGATTAATAACTGCAGTATTCAAATTATAATAAAAGTCTGTTATATATATATATGGAACTAATAACAAAAAAAAAAAAAAAAAAAAAAAAAAAAAAAAAAAAAAAAAAAAAAAGAAAAGAAATATAGTGGTTTTCCTGTGTTTTTTTTCTTAAAGATGACCAAACCATTTATTATCATTAAATAACAGTAACTTAAAACTGTAGCTTATAAAAAATAAAATTTAGAATGCTTGATACTTTACTCTCAGCATTATGACATGAAAATGCTAAGCATATGTGCAAATTACTGGTACTAGTAATGTCACACATTAAGAAAGCAGTAGATGGTTTTTCATGTATAAGAAACAAGTTTGCTCATAATTCAATGGTCTGTCTTGTGTGAGGAACATCAAAAGCAGCTTAAAGTATGTCTTGTATCAGCGAATTAAAATCAGCATATGTCCAAATCTGATCACAGGAAAACCATAGCATACTATGACTGCATATTATATTGCCATGAAACTGCCTCCCATTTTGATGAAAAGCAAAATCAGCAGCAACTCATCATGCAAATCATGATGCAAAATCATGATGCAAAGATCATGCAAATATGGAACTGATGATTCCAAAAGTGAAGAACAGAATGATAAGCAAGATCAAAATGATTCTGAAACATCAAACCCTGACAGGATAACACATCTTGCAAGAACAGTTAATACAGATCATGTAGCTACAATACAAAGCCTAGCTCAAGAATTTTAGTTTATAACACAAGGAAATGTCTAGAAAGAAATGGTGTAACATCAGCTGCAGCATTATAGATGACTTGCAAGGCGGATATTGTTTCAGCTACTTTTAACGGATAGCACAGGGTAGCATAGGTGCATTGAAGGAATAAAACAAAATTCACTTATCCTCAAGAATGGCGTATCATCTTTACAGATAAATCTCACTATTGCACGCAGAACTAGGAGAACTGACTTGAGTTTTTGGAAAATTATGATCATCATACCGACATTTGGAAATTACACTATAGACACCATTGGCTATTAGTCGTGCTCACATTTAAGACACACCTGTTACTCTAATCAACATCCTATCGCACAGCTGTGTGCTTGTCTCTGTTTTCAAGGTCTCCTTAAGCCATATACTTACACAACAATGCATGGTTGCAGTGCATACAGCATCTCATATTTCTTCGATATAAAGCATGTTCAACTTTTGTACTCAGTGTATATTCACCAGATTTGTGATATCAGGTCCATGTTATGGGCACAACAATGACAACAACAAAATACAAAAAAAAAAAAAAAAAAAAAAAAAAAAAAAAAAAAAAAAAGAACTATGGCAAAGATTGAAAATTCATGGCCTCTAAGATTTCAAGTTGCCATCCAGAAGCTATTCCACTGAATTTAAACTTACAGTTTTTGTTACCCATGATGGTTATGTATGAAACTAATCTCTATATATTCCAAACTACCGAAATTTTAATCATCTCAACCTTACATTAAAAAAAATTACAAAATATGGTTATCTTACATCTTTCTTGTCATTGCAATTTTAATGCACATTATTTTTTATAAGAAAGAAAATAGCAGCACTAACTATGCATTCCTAGATAAACAAATGCAACATATAGATAAATAATAGGAAAGCATACATCAGAAGCTAAAAAAAATGTGAACTAAGGAACAGATACAGGAAACTGGCTAGTTATTTTTTATCATTAGGTTTGGAAGAATGTAACATGCTAATTTAAATAATCATAGAAAAATTAAATATACAAAAAATTCTAATTTATTTATTTATTTTTTAAAGTAATCTGATGATTTCTAACACTTCTTTCTGCAGAGTAAAAACCAAATACCAAAAAACAGATGAAGCTACTAAAAACATATAAAATAAGAGTAAACAATAAAAGCATTAAAGAACAATAAGGCAACTTAAAATATGTCATAAATAATTTTAAAACAAGAATCAACAAGAGAAATAATATACATTAAAAGAATTTTTTTACACACAATGAAAAATTCTATCTGGCATAGAAAGATGGCAATGGAACTGGTGCATTAAAATATACCAGCATTTAGGGTCAATTTATATAATTCTCTACTTTTGGCATTGCATAACTGAAATACACACAATTAAAGTGGTGCAAAAGGGATATGTATAATTCGGTAATAATAAATACACATATTTACAGTATACACTGGTGTGCAAAAATTAAGGACGAGACGGTTTTTTCAATATAACTTTGTACAAAAGCTTTCCAAATCAACACATTTAATACCGTAAGATCCCCAATACGTAACGATATGAGTAATGTAAGCAACACTTACTAAAAGAGAAATCAGAGGGATATAAAGAAGCTTCATTGAAAAAGTAGCATGGAGCGCAATGCGACTGAAGGCCGAAACATCCCTGGGATGGGTGTCCAGCAAGAAACATCCGGTCTTTAATAGGGGATATGATCTTCCCTGACTGCTAGGCAGATTTCACAGCGTCTGTCCATGCTGAGAATGAGGGTGTCAATGAGTTGTTGAGGCATTGCTACCCATTCGTCTTGCAGCGCCAATCGAAGCTCCGGAATCGTTACTGGTGGTAAGGTACGAGCTGCCAAGCGTCTGCCTAGAAAATCCCATACATGCTCGATGGGATTGAGATCCGGAGATCGTGCCGGCCAATCCATATGTTTAATATCCTCACTCTCTAAGAGCTGTTCGGCAGCTACTGTGCGATGACATGGTGCATTGTCATCCATAAAAAAGGAACTGCGGACCCATAGCGCCTCTAAAAAGATGCACATATGGAAGAAGAATCTCGTTACAATAACGGGTCCCGTTGACTGAACCTGCGTCTAAGATGTGAAGCTCTGTACGACTACCAAGCATGATGCCTCCCCAAACGAGAACACCGCCACCTCCATACCTGTCCCTTTCAATGATGTTCGAGGGATGATTGCGGCTTCCCCGCTCTCTCCAGATGAATATGTGATGAGAATCGCTACTCAGACTGAATCTGCTTTCATCTTTAAAGAGTACTCGTCCCCATTCATTGTCTCTCCAATTCCGGTGTTCCCGGCACCACAGAGAACGCCTTCTCCGATGGGCAGGCGTTAGAGGTACACACCGTACAGGGCGTCGTGCAAACAGACCACCACCGTGCAGTCTTCTGGCCACGGTAAAACGCGATATCGGTCGTCCAGTCGCCTGTGTCATGTGTCTAGCGATTTCTCCCGCTGTTTGCCGCCTGTTTCTTCTGGCCTGTAAGGCAATATACCGGTCTCATCTGCGGGTGTGGTTCCTCGTGGACGACCACTACTAAACCCCCGGATAGCTGTTCCTGTAGTTTGAAATTGTCTCCAAAGTCGTGAAACGATGCTGTGAGCAATTCCGAACTCTGCAGCCACACTTGTCACACTGTGGCCTTCCTCCAACTTCCCAACGATTCGACCTTGGGTAAAAGCATCCAGATGTCGTCTAACAGATTGATTATTCGCCATTTCTCGCTGAGGCAGCAACTCGGTGTGATTTTAACTGCTATACGGCGTGCAATCTCTTTGCCAAAAATACTGATCTTACACTGACAACATGCTTTATACTACTCAGACATTCCCCTATTACGTCTACCTGCATATCTGTGCATGTGCTACCGTACATCACCTTACTTAATCTCCTAATTGGTCTTTCTGTCCGCTCTGCCTCTTCGTTCAGCTGATATGCTAATTTTTCGACTTCGTCCTTAATTTCTGCACACCAGTGTATATTAGTTAGTGGTAATGAGAAGCAGTGGGCATATACTATTGACATTAGATACAAAACTTATACAGATGTATTGATTCTCAAAACATGGACACAATATTGCTTTACTACTAAGGAAATAAAAATCTTGGCTTTAAAACTATTCAATACTAATAAGTTAAAGACTTCAATTTCACTTTAATCATTACACAAGTGAATCATCTGCATTATATAAAAATCATATGACAGGATTAATTTTGAATTGAAGCATTTCAGAAAGATTTACTATATTATAAGCATTTCACTATTTTTTAAATAGAAAATAGAAAGATTTGAAATATATTATTACTTCGCAAACAGAACATAAAATCTTTGAGGCAAAGAACAAATGAAAAAAATTCTTATCATTTAAATGACAAAATTAATGCAGAAATGTAATTTTGTAAATTTTGTAAAATTATAGAATATTAAATTTCTATGTAAAAAAATATTAAAAAAAAAAGCATGATTAAAAAAATTAAGAAATGAATAAAACAGCATAAAGATTTTTCAATTTAAAAGAATATTTTTTTTTTCTGTTTTCTAATCTGGTGTTAATGACATATACTGGTATATTGTAAAGGTAAGAATTAAGAATTATGGTATAGTATTTAAATTACAGTTGCTTGTAAATCTTCCTACTGCATGTCCACTTTCTGTTCCATGTTCTGAACAGTTCACATAATGTCAGCAACTTTCATTTTTACCGCAAATTTTGGTAAAAAAATGCAGATATTACACAGGTGTATGTGATATTTTAAAAAATTACTGTATCAACTATTCAACCTACTTCGCTTTTATCTGGGAAAATTTCTTTTACATCTCCATTATACAGCTCCACTTTTGTGATGCCAGTACTTGCATCGAAAAATTTTCGTGATCCATTACCATAAATAATTTCTTTATCTCCTGAGTGATATATTCTTTCTATCTAGAAGAAAAGAAGTACCTATTAATTTAAAATATATGAACAACTATAAAACTATACATTTGAGTGTAAAAGGTTTTGACTCACATGAATCACACACTGTGTTTCATTGCATATTCCCCCCCCCCTAGTATTAAGTTCTGAAAATTTAAAAAATAATTTCACATAATTCTTTTGTATGGAGTTCTTTCCTCTGAGGCCAGTTTACTGGGAAATTGTATTTCCTTGATTATTTTTATTTTTATTCAGTGTATTGTCTGTATTTCTACTTTCGTATTGGCATTTCATCCATTTTATTTTCCTTTGCAGTTATTATTTGAAGCACATTTTGTGCAGATTCTTTGTTAAGCTACTTGAACATGGCAGATGTTATTACCCTTAACAAAATTTTCAAACATGTGACTTCACCTTACTTCTGTTTCAGCTCATCATAATCTTATCTAGTGTTGATGTGTTCGATCTTCAGTATCTGGATCTTTTGTTTGCCCCTCTTTGCCTTCATTCCTCCGATGTCCCTTTAGGAAACTGTGTTCAAGACTCATTCATGTGAGGTGTCCCTGGGGCTTCTCAAGGTAACTCAGCCGGACATATTGCACATCCATCAGATATCGGCTCAAATTCTATCAGGCATAGTAATGTTAATATTGCTATGTATTCATAATGAAATTTAGGTTTCTTTTAAAGAAGTATTACTGTGATACTTATTTGTAATTTATCCATGATTATTTTTCATTTGTTATATTCTTACTATTACCATATCCTTTAGAAATTTAACTATTCAGATAACTTTCTCCTCTCGATATTCAAAAGATAAAATTAAAAAGGGGGCATATGGGAGGACACACAGTAGCATGCCCTAATGTATCCATGCAAATATATGTAAAAATATTGCAACAACAAACCACCACTGTTTCAATAGAAATCTCTTAATCATACAGTCTTACATCATACAGTCATAAGTCATAAGCTTACATATACATACATATACAGTCTTACATCACATATTACATATACAGTCTTACATCATACAGTCATAAGTCTTACATCATACAGTCATAAGTCTTACATCATACAGTCATAAGTCATAATCATACAGTCATAAGCTTCTTTGTTGCAACATACAAGTGTAAGCTTTGCTGTCATTGTTCAGAAATAGGAAGTAAACACTGCAACAGATGCCAGTAATGAAGTCCAGCTTTTGCCAGCATTTTTGCTTCTTTAGGAGACAGGCATAAAGGACTTTGAAAGGTAAATAACAGTGCTGATGATTTACTAATGCCAGCTCTCAACTACTGCATGAACCTTTTAAGAAGTTGCCTGTATAGTCCTATTGTGGCCTTCATGAATGTTAAGCTTAGTGTTGAATGTATTCTGTTGAAACCATTGACAACAGCATCCTTTGAGAGTATCATCATTTTTGCCTTTTTTGCAGGTGATTTGCTGGTATAGAGATGGCCCACTTCATTGAAAACAATGATGCAAATTTTATAAACTTATGTAATTAAAAATACCATGGAGATCTTTAAGACATTCTCATTGATTAATGCAACAACACTATTACAAAAGCAGAGTGACCTTTAATTCATTTTTGGAATGTTCTTTTCCTGTGCATTTTAGACTCAATCTTTGTGTTTATCAGTTACATATTGTTATGAGTTTTTTATACTTGTAAATGATTTTAATGAAATTATATGTAAATTGTAGTATCTCTTGTATAATGTAAAATAAAAAGCCTCAGAAATGCAAAGCATCGCCCGAAAAATAGGATTAAAGCCTTAAATCTATTTAACATTGAGGGAAATGGCTATATCATCAAACTGGCGAGAGAGCTTCAAGCTAGTGATGGTTTTACTAATTCTTGTCACCAAATGGCCAAAAGTAGTGACCATTTGGTTAGATTCTAATGTAATGTAACTGAATCAATCACTTTGTAACTGAATCTTATGCTATGTAATTGTGACTGCGTATGCCTTTCAGAAATTTTGGGTACTGGAAATCTCTTGGCGGATAGAGGAAAATTATATAAGACTAAAGAAAGCATTAGTTTAATTCAAAGTTTAGATCAGACTATCAAGAGATCTCTTATAAAGCTTACGCATTTGAGGCTTTTTACATAGTCTTGCATTTAAGTTTGTAGGTAGTTGAAGTAGTAACTACTGATTGTGCTCTGTCATACTGGGAGAAGAGCTATGCGAGTACTTTTGTGAAAAATTCCAGAAATGTTAATTGTTTCTTTTGGGGAAATGCATTTTATAAAACTACCATCAGTTCTGTGTACACGAAAGCCTTATCTACCAGTAACAATATTTTCTATAATTCGCATGTTTGGCAAACAAGTATTTGCATGTACAGTTTGAAATTACCGGATAAGAACAACACTTTTTTTTCTTTTTAAATATACAGAATGATTTACAGATCTATTAATAAATTGGGTTTATAACAGTAAAGACAAAAATTAAATAAAGTTGCTAAGAGGAACAAAAAATTTAAAAATCACTTACATTGCCCCCGCGTTCTATTTCTCTGTACTCGGGCTCTTCAACTTCATTAGCAGCATTTGTCTCTGTATCTTCAGCATCTTCAATTTCATCCCAAACAGATGTTTGTAATTTATTCCTTATACCAGCAATTTCATTTTCTGAGCTTTCAGCTAATGCTTCATCATACTCAGGTTTCAAATTGAAATGCACCTTTAATTTTGTCATGTCTGTTCTAAAATGTGTCATATGATCAACACTCTCAATCCTATATATATATATATATATATATATATATAAAAAAAAAAAAAAATTTAATCCTTATACAGTCAAAAGTCTTTAATCCGGACTCTTCGGGACTTCGGCGATTCCGGATTATTGGTTCCGGTTTTTCCGGATTATAGATCGTCAGTTTAAATCTGGTAAGATGGCATGCAGAAATTATAAAACTAAAAATATAAAACCATAATTTATGAAATAAAGAGCAATTATGATTTAAAGGGTATCAAAATCAACAAAAAAAAGCTTAATATTTATTGTTTACTTTATTAAACATTTCTTTCAACGCGCACATACGTAAAGCATACATTATGCATAGTCAAAATTAGAAAACTGCAACCAGAAAACTATTTTATGTGTATTCATAATATTTATAATGACAAGGAATTTAATTTAAATCATATTAAAGACGGAGTACATTGAGATGAAATACTACATTTAGTAAGGAATTATAAGCCGAATAAAATAAAAAAATCTGCCCTGAAGATAAGGATAGTGCTGACAGATCAACTTCCAGTTCATTGCGTGCCGTGACCCAGAGCAGCGTGAAATTGATAAACAGATTTCAGAATGGTTAGAGAAACAAAGGATATGCCTTTATATCCTTTGTTTGTTTCGCAGCAATTCCACTTTTTGTTTGATGGACATCGAAACATGCTTTTGCTTTGTAGATCCTTTGGCAGCTCCAGAATCGGAAATTCTTTTTGGCATAATCGAAAGTTCAAGCTTACTTTTATAAAATTGCTCTAACAGTCTGCAAAAAATTATTAAGCCAGATCCAATTAGAAGATTAAGGAACGACGCAATCTGCAACATTAACTGAAATAGATAATTAGATAATTTTAGCTTAGCTTATACCGTCCATTATACATTAAACGTGCATGCATAAACATATTATGCACATGCATAAAGGTATTATGTGCATGCGGAAACGCATTATGTGTTTACGCATGCGCATAAAGTTTGTAGCTTTGAGGTCCGGATTATAGATCATTCCGGATTATGGACGTCTGGATTAAATACTTTTGACTGTAATAATAAAAATATAAAATAAATTCTTTTGAAACCCTTTATTTTTATGCCTTAAAATCATAACTGACAATTATTAGTTTTCACTTTAGAGGATACTGAAATAGTAGAGAAAAAATTAGAATACTTTTCATCATCCATTACAGCATCTAAAGTATTTTTTTCAATTCCATTTTCATTCGCTGTAATTTTTGAGTCATATTTCATGTTGGCATTTTCTGCATCCAAACCTTTTTCATTAGTAACAGTTTTCTTTGTTTTATTCCTAGCCTGAAAATATTTTAAAATATAAACACAGCTACTGCACACAAATATATTTATTACAATATTGCCAAAGTTTACATTTACAGTAGATATGGTTACTTTGAACTAATATATATGTATACAAATTAAAAGATTATTTTAGTCACTCAGTTTATATCATATTAAAAGATTTAGTTATTTAGTTTATTTCAAAAAATATATTTTTTTGAATTCAACAGAATTATACAAATATAACATGGTGGGAAACATCATTATACATATATTTCAGACTGTGAAGTATAATGCAAAGCAGGGAGGGGGGAAATTAAAATATCATATGTCTTGGGGGGAACAAGAATGCAAATATTAAACAAAACAAAATTAAATATAATTGAAAAATAAAACACCAAAAATTATATAAATAAAATTAAAAATATGAATATGAAACCAGGAGTTCTGTATGGGGAAAAAGTTACTGGAGATAAGACCTGTTTAAAGCATTACACAAATATAAATGAGAACTGTTCATTAATACTATTAAATTAAAAAAATTGCAATACAGAGTAGTTTCTTCTTTTGTATTTTTCCAAAGCCAGTATAGTTTGACCATCTCAAGTGCAAGGTGGTCGAACTATACAAGATTTTAAGGAAGTTTTAGGAAAAGAAGAATTATTTTTTACAGCTTTATATTACTACAGTAAAATCATTCACATCTTTGCATTAAATTGTGTGTTATATCATTCATCACAGACTGGCAAAAACTGGAATCTGATAATCTCCTAATCTGTCTAAGACTTTTAACCAAAACATTTAAAAATTTTATTTAAATCTGGTATGAAACCACTTAAACAAAACAAAAAGAAAATTTTGCTATTTTGTTAACGGAAAATGTACTGTAAAGTTTCTGCTACAGCCAACATGTGTGCCAGCCAGTTCTCCTTAGAAGGTCTTCAAAGATGGCATCCCTCACCTTAGACAGATAGCCTTAGTGTGCTTTGCCATAATCAGATAACCCACCCACCAATTCCAGAAAAAAAAAAAAGTGGAAACAATCACAAAGTCTTCAGTATTCATATTACATCCAGAGGGGCTTTTTTTTTTTAACATTTTGTGTGTTACCTTTATTTATTAAATATCATGTTCTTTGCACTTAAACCATAAAATTCAACAGCAATATCACAAAATAATTTTAAAAGATAGCTAGCTTTAGAATTTCCGATACACAGTCTCCTGCCCTAGAGATAAAAATGTTTTTTTTTTTTTCCCCCCCCCTATTTAGTGTTGCCATTGCTTGTTTAAATTGGTGAGTTTGTAATAAAAAATTCATTAAAGTTTTACAAAAAATGAAATAGATAATAAAATAAATTCCAAATTTGGGCTTTCAAATGCCTATATTCAGGTGGAGGATTACATAATTGAAGATTTGATGGCTCTATGTACCATGGTTTTATCAGAATGTGAGAAACTAACATACATTTACGCAGATACTTCATTATTTAATTCCTTTAAATACAATACAGGAAGATAATATTTGATGGCAACTTGAAAAGTGATTCACCGCATTTAAGTTTTCAATGCAAAACGAAATTACTAGCCCTTCTAGCCAAAACTGCCCCTTTGGGCTAAGGATACCCACATGATCTCCAACTCAATTCCAATTCTGTAACTGTTGAATGGAACTGTGGCTGTCTGTAAAGGTGAAGAAAAAAAAAAAAAAAAAAAAAAAAAAAAGGGGGGGGGGTAACGTAGCAATAAGAGAACAATAATGGATGAAGTACTAGGACTACTACAGACATTCAATGTGTATGCTACAAAGCCATGGACATGGGATAACATGAGGCATGCAACTGATGTGCGACTATGCTTCACCTCCTTCTGATATTAAATACACTTTTGTTGATTTGTTCTGCAGCATTGTAAACGATTTATTGCAGCCAATGATTATCATGAACATCATTAAGATAAATGACACCAAAAAATATATTTACTTACTGTTATTTTTATTCCTGCTATTACCATTCAAAATGTGTTAATATTATTGTAGGACCCCTGATAGTGTTGAACATCATTGGCAGGTTCAAAAAGCATGCTTTAATTATAGCATCAGATAACTGTTTAATGTAATCCACTGGGATATCTCATCTGAATGATCTATTCTATACTAGGCATTAACTTTCATACAACAATAATCACTACACTAGATACATACTCTCATATTCAACAGCAGAGTTTTCACTGTTAAGCACTAACTGCATATGACTGCCCTTTATCGATTTGTAAATAAACGTCTGATGCAAAATTTCTACCACAGTGTTAGAGGCCCTTAATTGGCCATGAAAGTAATTAGAATGTCCATTACATTATTATTATCCTACCTCAATTTTAAAAAAAATACCCTGCTATGAGTAATTATGCTTAAATTGTGCTATTCTTTAGTTAAAAAGTAATAAAATACATATTTTGAAAACTTTGCAAGACCTTTGGATTAACTAATACATTACAAACATAACCTGCAAATAATGGTAAATAAAGTTAGGTTACAAGTGTAAATTAAATTTCTTAAATCAATTTTCAATTAATTTTAATCCATTTTCAACTTTTGAGGCTTTTATTATATTTACTATTATAATAACAGCTGCAGGAATTTTTGAAAATGTGATAACTTTCAAACTTTATGCAAATTAAAAAAATAATATATGCAAAATAGGATACATTTAGGTTTCACACTGCAGAACAGAAGAATAAATAATTCATATAAATGCACAAAACTTCAAAGCATTATTGATGTCATTTAATATTAAATGCTCTTATACAAACCTTTAAAGCAATAAGTAAATCTTCACACTGGTCATTGAGCTTTATATTTTCCAATTTAAACGTATCCCTATCTCTTTCTGCAGCAAGCAACTGATTTTTAAGTCTACGAATATCTTCATTATATTTAATCTTTTGCTTTTTAAGTTCCTTCCGTAAATCCTCCACCTATTAAAAATCTACATATTTATATTTGAAATTTAAAAAATAAAAAATTATGAGACAGGATTTCACAATTTTTTTAAACTAAATTTACAATACTGAATAAACAGAATAAAAACATAAATGAAAAAGAAAACCTTTTTTCCCTACAGAGACTGATAATATATCATGCTTTCGAAAATAAGAAATAGAAGCAGAATTAAAGCAATCAGTTCACACTCAAAAGAAAGTTTTAGATAACCAGAAAACAGATTTAAGAAATAAACTATCACATTAACTTGTACAGTTAAATGAGAATTCCACTTATGAATGTTGTATGATTTAAGATATCTAATAATCTGTACGAGTAACACTACAAATAATTACAAGAATTATAAATTCAAAAGCAAAATTTGAAAATAATACATGATACACTACACTCCATAATGAATACTATTTGTTTTTGCAGGATTACTGTGATGATTGAAATGCTTGTTTAAGTATGAAACAAGATTTTTTAAAAACAATCTCATAAAATGCAGTGTATTAGACACTGAACCATCAAATCACCATTCTTTTAATATTCTCATCATTCTGAAAATCTACTACTACTTCATAAAGACATCTTCATGTAATTCATTTTTGCAATAGAATGAAGCTGAGTCAAGTTGGACTGTGACCCAGAACACCAGGCCTCGACTAATGACAGGCCAAGGTGAATTTGAAGCTTTGATTGAGATCATCTCAAGATCAGGAACATACATAATAACAACTAACCTTCCTGAAATAAAATGCAGTTCATAGTCAAGTTTCAGAACAGACTGTTATTAATGACTGTTATCAAATACTTTTTACAGTCACAGCAAAGAAGCATTCGGACACTTTGCGAACTGGAAGATTTAAAGTCATGTTTCCTAAAATTGGAAATAACAGAATATGGTGCAATAATAGAATGTTTAATTAAAGTACATACAACTGCCATACAATCCAAACTCAGGACCCAGTGATTTTACCTCTTCCTAATTCTAAAGGAACATCTTTGTAGTTAGAGACTTAAAAATAATAAAAATGCCCAAACAGCAATGATGTGCCACTGTGTCCAAGATACCATATTTTACAATATTAGAGCAAGCCTAAGTAAGCATTAACACAAATGCCCCAGTCACATAGTAATGACATGGAAAATGAAGTCTCCATGTAAAGTGCCAGTGTAAAGTATGCTATATCAAACTGCATTCTCATGAATTTACAGCAAGCATAAGTCAGCATTTACACAAATGTCTCAGTCCCACAGCAACTACATGGAAAATAAGGTATCCATCCATGCATAAATGTAAGTATGCTATGTCAAACTACGGTTGATCTTTACAATATGGTAACTGGTAGTTTGGCAACATTTTGGAGGCGATAAAGGTTACTACCTGGCACTTTGGTAATAATGTGAGCAGTACTCAGTTCCGATTACGCATTATTTTGTGTGAAGGAAATGAGAGATCATGGGATATGTCATGTGATATTAATGGACAAATTACGGTTCTTTAATCGGAAAAGGGGGGGGGAAATCGGGAAAAAATCTGGAAATTTTGTATTTGGCTTTATTCTGTATTGTGTGAAACAGTGTTCGTGAATTTTTGGATCCCATGGCCGTAACTAAAGTGAATTCGAAATGGGTATTTATGTTCGAGGGCTATCCAGAAAGTAGATTACGTTTTGGAATAAAAAAATAAACAAAGTATAGGAAACAAATTTTATTATATACAGATGAAAGCCACACTCAAATACTACTTTTCTACATAGTCACCATACAAATTAAGGCATTTATCGTAGCGATGTACGAGCTTGGAAATTCCTTCGTCGAAAAATTCGGCCGCCTGCGCCTTCAACCACTTCGTTACCTCTTCTTGCAGCTGTGCGTCGTCATCAAAACGCTGCATAGCCAGCCACTTCTTCATTGCTGGGAATAGGTGGAAGTCGCTCGGTGCCAGGTCGGGACTGTACGGCGGATGAGGAAACAACTCCCACTTAAAAGATTCAAGAACTTTACGAGTGACATTTGCCATGTGGGGCCGGGCGTTGTCGTGAATCAACAAGATCTTAGAGCTCAACATTCCTCTGCGCTTGTTTTGAATTGCTCTTCTGAGTTTTTTGGAGAGTTTGGCAATACCTTTGAGAGTTTATTGTAGTGCCTCTTTCCAGGAAGTCCACCAAAAATACACCTTTTTTGTCCCAAAAAAACAGTCGCCATCATCTTCCTTGCCGACATTGTTTGCATGCATTTCTTGGGTTTTTGGGGAGAACTTGTGTGCCCCCACTGCATTGATTGCAATTTTCGTTTCACAGTTCACATGTTTCACCCATGTTTCGTCACCAGTAACGATGCGATCGAGTAAAGAGTCACCATCCTTATGGTAAGCGTCCAAAAAGTTCAACGCTGCAGCCATTCGCTGATTTTTGTGGTCCTCTGTCAAGATTTTTGGAATCCATCTTGCACAAAACTTGTGGTAACCAAGCTTTTCGCTGATGATTCGTGCAACAAACTTCGCAAAATTTGTGGAAAATTCAAAGAAAGTTCCGTTATTGTGAAATTTCGATTTTCACGGACTTTAGCATCGACTTTTTCGAGAAGTTCGGCGGTCACTATGCTGGGTCTCCCACTTCGATCTTCGTCGTGAACATTGGTTCGGCCATTTTGAAATCTTATGATCCACTGACGCACTCCACCTTCAGTGATAATGTTGTCCCCATACACTTCACGAAGCTGCCGATAGATTTCTATCGGTTTACAGTTTTTTGCAGTCAGAAACCTTATTACTGAGCGCACCTCGCAGCTCGCGGGATTTTCAATTAACGCAGACATTTCAAACCGTCACAGTATCTGAACGGAGCACAGCACGAACCTCTCACTAGCACGGCTAGATGCAGACTGAGCTGCGCAACGCTCTGACCCCAAGATGGCCGCGCTAGCCCCGCCCCTAGCGGACACAGACGGACGTAATCTACTTCCTGGATGGCCCTCGTATGTATTAATTTAATGTATGTGCTCATTTATATTTTAATTAAATGATAGTTATTTTGTGAATTATATGTTTGTAGGAATTTGGTATACGTTTTAGTTGAAGTAAACGTGCATGGAAATAATTTCAATATCTGACACTAAGTATTTGTAATGGTTGCGGTATGAATTTGTTGGTGACGTGGTATAATGTAATAGATGATTTAGAGGTAAAAGTTTTTGGATATTTTATTTATTTTATATGTGGAAATGTTCATTACTTTTTCGCGATCAGGTAATTTCATATATGTTCTTTTTACTGGGTTTAAAGATTGAGAAAATTGTCATTTATTTTCGTGAAATTTTTCTAATTCATGAGAAAAAAGCAGTGTACATGGATATAGTGAAGAGTGTGCGCAATGCCATTTTTGTGCAATTCTGGGATGTTTTTTTAAGTAAAAATAAGTCGGCATGTACGTTGTTTAGTGATATTTTAATTAAATGATAGTTATTTTGTAAATTTTATGTTTGAAGGAATTTCGTATACGTTTAAGTTGAAGTAAACGTGCATGGAAATAATTTAAATATTTGATACTAAGTATTTGTAATGCTTGCGGTATGAATTCGTTTGTGACGTGTATAATGTAATAGATGATTTAGAGGTAAAAGTTTTTGGATAATTTATTTATTTTATATGTGGAAATGTTCATATTTGGAAGGGGTAAATACTTTTTCGCGATCAGGTAATTTCATATATGTTCTTTTTACCGGGTTTAAAGATTGAGAAAATTGTCATGTATTTTCGTGAAATTTTTCTAATTTATGAGAAAAAAGCAGTGTACATGGATATAGTGAAGAGTGTGCGCAATGCCATTTTTGTGCAATTCTGGGATGTTTTTTTAAGTAAAAATAAGTTGACGTGTACATGGTTTAGTGATATTTTAATTAAATGATAGTTATTTTGTGAATTTTATGTTTGTAGGAATTTGGTACATGTTTAAGTTGAAGTAAACGTGCATGGAAATAATTTAAATATTTGATACTAAGTATTTGTAATGCTTGCGGTATGAATTCGTTTGTGACGTGTATAATGTAATAGATGATTTAGAGGTAAAAGTTTTTGGATAATTTATTTATTTTATATGTGGAAATGTTCATATTTGGAAGGGGTAAATACTTTTTCGCGATCAGGTAATTTCATATATGTTCTTTTTACCGGGTTTAAAGATTGAGAAAATTGTCATGTATTTTCGTGAAATTTTTCTAATTTATGAGAAAAAAGCAGTGTACATGGATATAGTGAAGAGTGTGCGCAATGCCATTTTTGTGCAATTCTGGGATGTTTTTTTAAGTAAAAATAAGTCGTCGTGTACATGGTTTATGTGTATGTGTTATTTTGAAAAACGCGTAAGGAGTATGGTATTGTGCACTTTTTCCCAATTTTGCAGAGAATATTTGTCATGATTAAGCAGTTTTGTTAGATAAAATTTCTAGCATAAGTGTAATTCGGCTAGTAGATTTTTGGAAGAAGTGTTCAGGAGATAAAAAGAAAAGAAACATGTCTTTACTTCGTGAAGACAAAAGGCGGCGGGAAAAAAAAATAGAGGGTTGCTGTAGGAGAGTTGGTCGACAAATTTTCGCCAAAAAAACGCAAAGTTACCATAATGTAAAGATCAACCCAAACTACAATCTGCTTTTGAAGTAATAAACCCTTGCAAACTTAATGCTGGGGTGACCAACATTTATTTTAAATTATTTACACAATTTCAAATTATCTCCACAGAATACATAAATTTACTAAGCATTTCTACATCCCAAAATCAGAAGGATATTTTTACTATAAACTGGAAATTGGCTCAAAACAGCCTTCTCTAGAAAATAATATTAATTTTGCATAAATTTTTCATACAATTCAAACAATAAATTTCATTTGAATCTAAGAACTAGCAAATTTTCATTTATTAAAAAAAAAAAAATAGATAAAATAATGAAGAAGAAATTGGTGTAACACATTCGTTGTTCCTATCCATGAAAAAAGTTTATAAAATTATTTATATATATAAAGAAAAACAAGAAGAAAACTTTAAAATTAGTGAATTCAAAATTTATTCAAAAAGACTAAAAAATAAAATCCTGCGCTATGCTGCAAAGATAATATTAAATTTAATAAAGTTATACAGAATATAATGGAGATTATTTCTTAGGAAATTCAAAGTGAAATTTAGAATGCAAATGTGCACTTTTGTGGTAAAAATAACTGTCAAGTTACAAAGCAATTTAGAAAGCTAATGTGTACTACTGTGGTAATAATTAATTGGAATATAAATAAATAATACAAGAATCTCAATTAAAATGTAAAAGAGAAGAATAAAATGATAATTATTGCCGATTCCATAGATATTATCAAGGGAAAATAAGAATCTTCATACAACCATTAACAATTCATGAAAAATGCATGTCATCATCTCGCATATCTGAACAAATCACTTTTGAATTTTAGACTTCTATTCAGTTTTAGAACATCTGAATTACATCTTATTGATTCGGATTATCTCAAATATCCAAATCGATTAGATGTAAAATTGAAAAGGGATTTGTTCAGATATGTGATATAGCAAAACGCTTTTTTCATGAATTATTGATGGTTGTATGGAGAGATTTCAATTCCTCTTCATAAGCTGGGATCTTTCTATGGAATCAGTAATAATTATCTTGTTTTATTCTTCTCTTTTACATTTTAATTGACATTTTAGTATATTTATTTAAATCCCAATTAATTACTACCACAACAGTGCACATTAGGTTGCTAAATTTCACTTTGAATTTCCTAAGAGATAATTTTTTTTTATGTTCTGCCCCTCTATATGTATACATTTGATTGAAAAAATTTTTATCAGTTTTTCAAAATAACGAAATTCTCACTCCTTTTTTTTTTCCCACTTGCAATGAGAAATTTTAATAATATTATAATATTTTGTAAATATTTATGTTTACTTGAAACTATTTAGAATACATATATATATTTATTCATTTAACACAATTTATGTAATAATTTTTAAGTGCTTTTTGCTTAAATGATTTTGCAGTCCCCTCACTTACTGTTGTAGACCTTTTAATTCTGAACTGCCTCAATGTTAGAATCATAGAGATACCTCAATTAGAATTGGAGATATGGGCAGAAAGCCTCCTGACAAGCCTAAATGATATTTTTGTTGCCATGCTGGTAGCATTTGTGATTTCATACAAATCTGGCAACATCCTGGAATTTCTCAGAGAATGCCTTTTTGAAGCTTAAGAACTTTTTTTTCTTGAAGTGTTTAAGCAATCCTGAAAATATCAGCTGCTTTGAAGCTAAGAATCAGTAAGTTTCATTATTCATTTAGAGGCAAGATTTGGGTTCTTGCTCAGTGATTATCACTGCATTAGACTGTACTTTATCAATGATTCTAATGACCTGCAGTATATTTCACATGTTAAGAAGAATTAGCCTTGTCTTTGTTTCTCTTTTATAACCATTTACAACTGTTTACTGAGCTGCATGACCTGCTATTTATTTCAGTGTCAGTTTGTGTCAGATTTTTCTTGTTCACCTTGCATAATTATACTGGAGATCTCCGAACCACATCTCACAATAATGCCACTGTTAATTAAAAGACAGAAATAGCAAGAAAAATCCAAAATTTACTTTCACTGTATTTACCTTATTATAATTTTCAGTTTGATAGTTAGACCAGAAAATGCATAAAAATGAAATTAAATTGATTACGTTTATTTAAAAAGCAATTTTAAAATGAATATAACATTTTGATATTATAAAACAAAAACAAAAAAAAAAAAAAAAAACAGAAACCTCTTTTCTTAAAGCAGTCAATTCTTCTCTTTCCTTTTTACTCATATTATCTTTTTGCAACTTTTGCAGCCTCTTAAAGGTGTCTTTTTCTCGCCTGAAAGTAAAAGATCCAATTTAACATGCTTGTAATACAATAAGAAATATTTTTGAGTGAAATAATCAAGGTACACAAACAGACAGACCTTTATTAATTAAGAGTAAGCTTGTAAACTGGCAATAATAATTAAAGTGCAGCATTTTCAATTTTTAATATCTTTTCAAGTTCGAATGTAAATATATTCAATAAATGGATGGTGCCAAATTACACGAAGGAGGTGAAAAACATAGGAATTATGTAAATCAAATTCATGCTTGGATTTAACTAATTTAAATTCCCACTTTCACAAATATGATTTTAAACACTTTACACTTATCTATTACTTGAAAATTCAGTTGTAGAAGCCAAACTGAAAATAAACTAAAAAGAAAGCGAATATAGCTTCTTCGCTAATCACAAATTGAAACATCATATGCATAACTCATAGAACTTTTCAGTTCATGTAATTTGCCACATTACTCTTCAGATCTAAGCTGTCACTTTGATTTAAATAATCTTACGAGATCCTGCATCAGCACAACTCAAAGTAGTGATTCCTTTCAAAATCAGTCTGTAGAGACATTTACATCAGTTTGCATAATATTGTTACGGATTTGGTATTTAAATAGCTTATGTTAGTTGAATTGTAAGTTAAATGGTTTTATTTCCCGCACAGTGCAGTGCGTGACAAATATTAAAAGAAAGCCAAGCCGGAAAATTGAAAATACAAGAGCGCGTGCATGTAACATTTAATAAATATCTCTTTTTGATTTCGAGAAAGTACTAGAAAATTCTCGCGCGATTTTAAAATCTTATAAAAGGAGGAAAACCTCTCAGTTCGTTGTAGTTACTTAGTTTGTTGTTGTTTTAAGAGTTTGTTTAGAAAACTGCTCTTGTTGACTGTAGTGAATTCGCGGATTACCTTTCTCTAGCTGTTTTGAGTTAAGTTTCTTGAACACGAGTAGTTAAAAATAACTACTGTGAGATATTGTAAAACTGCATGAATATTAGGAAATTTAAGCATATTGTTATGATAATAATAAATTTTGTTCATTTTTCATCAGACATGTGCATTCATTTCGTAACGAACCCGTACACATGCAACAATTTTTGGTGTCAGAAGTGGGGTTTGAATGCCAATTACAAGAGCGATGGAAGAACAGATGAGACAGTTGATGACTGCATTTGCTGCATTCCAAGCAGAGATGAAATTGGGCCAAGAATCCGTTAAGGAAGAGATGAAATCCGTTAAAGGAGAGATGAAATTGGGCCAAGAATCTGTTAAGGAAGAAATGAAATCCATTAAAGGCGAAATGAAAGCAATTCAAGAAAAGATTGAAGCAGGTCAAGAGGAAATGAAAAGAGATATTACTTGCATAATAGAAAACAAATTTGAGGCTATTGAAGGCAGAACTGACACTATTGAAACTAAAGTTGGACAAATAGAAGAAAGAGTTTCTTTTGTCAAAGATCAAATAGAAGATAGAGTTTCTGTTATAGAACAACGAATCGAAGGAAGGGTTTTTGCCATCCAACACCGAATCGAACAACAAATTGATGACAGGGTTTTAGCAATGCGAAAGAAGTTGATAATTTAAAGAAATTCGTAGCGACGGCAAAGAGCACTTTGGATGAACTAAAATTTTTACCCGTGCCTGCTCGTATCTCTCTGAAGCTATCTACATATAACGGGAAGACCTCCTAGCAAGTGTATAAAACACAATTTTCTATAAAGGCGGAAGCGAATGGAAGGGATTCCCAAGCTAAAGCCTGTCATCTCGCCGTTTCTCTGAGAGCAGACACAGTGGATATTCTGCAGACTCTTCCTGAAAACCAGAGACTTGATTTCGAAGCTCTATCCGACGCATTGGAGCTGCGCTTTGGCGAGAAATGTTTAAAAGATTACAGCAGATTTCAATTAAAATCTCATCAACAGAAGCCTCCAGAATCATTCCAGGAGCTCACCACGGATGTTGCAAGGCTGTCCCATCTCACCTTTTCGGAGTGCCCGACAGAAACAAGGCAAATCCTGTCCCTGCGATACTTTATCGACGGCATCTGGGATCCCTGAAATACAGAAAGCTCTGCGAATGGCAGATGTGAGGGACATAAATACGTGCTCTGTTGTACACTATGAAAGTCGAGGCAGCCCAGACAAGCAACTTAGTAGAGATCACTACCCAGTCAGAGCTGCGCGAGTCCACGAGCCAGTGGATCAACTGAGTGGGCTTCGTTTAGATGATTTATCCAGAGAAGTCAATGCTTTGATACAGAGTAGGAGTGAGAACAAAGTGGCTCTAAGGTGTTGGAAATGTGGTATTGAAGGTCACAATTCGATCGACATAGCGACAAACCCCAGGGCACGGATAATAAAATGGATGATTTGACAAGACCAGTGAATGCCTTGAGACAAAATATTGGTGAAAAGAAACCGATCATAAAGTGCTGGAACTGCGGTGTTGAAGGCCACATACGAAGGAACTGCAGAACACCCCAGAGCACAGAAAATAAGAGAGGCAGGTTAAACAGACAATTAAATGCCATGGGACGGGAAAAGATTGACAAGAAAATAAAGTGCTGAAACTGTGGAGCTGAAGGCCATGTACAAAAGAATTGCAGAACACCCCAGGGTATGAAAATTGAGACCATTTCCCAGCAACGACGCAAGAAACAAATTAATGACCATATCAAGGAACGGAGGTTGCCAGATAATGAAAAACCTTGTTTTAAAGCACTCAAAATTTCTACGGTGAGTGGCAACAGTACGGACTGTTCTTCAATGGGCATATCGATGGAGTTCCTTGCAATATGATCATTGACACCGGAGCTAATGTTACCATCATTAGGAAAGAATTAGCTGAACAGTTTAAAGATAAACTTATTTGGACGCCATCCTGTGTTACCCTTCAGACTGCGTCTGGTGACAAGATCGACATAGCTGGGAAGTTAAACCTGAACATCACGTTTGGAAGTGCCGCTTACCATCACACGGTATATGTGGCGGATATTACAGATCCATGCATACTCGGACTGGACTTTTTAGGAAATACAACTTTTCCTTAGACTTCAAAAACAATAAATTGCTTTCAGGATCTGAAGACATGACTATCCATCCTCAAAAAAGATTGTCACCTGGAAATGCCGACGCTTTGTCTGAAAGAACCAGCTCGAGAAGCTGCCGAAATAATGCTAGGGTCGAAAAGAAACGCAAAACTACCAGCTATTCTCCATCCCAAGGCTCTTCGGTTGTGACCTTCATCTGCCTTGTGATCTCTTTTTTGGTCGCCCTCCGGATGCTCCTTCATCACCTGAGGAATATATTCAAGATCTCCAGACCCGGCTTGAAGTGATGCACAACTTTGCACGAGAGCGAGTCAACTTGGCAACAGAGAAGATGAAGACCCGCCATGACACAAGAGTTACTGAACATCAATTCCACGAAGGAGACAAGGTGTGGTTGTGGAATCCGACTCGACGGAAAGGACTTTGTCCGAAATTACAGTCACCTTGGGATGGTCCATACACGGTCCTAAACAGGCTGAATGACGTCGTTGTTCGGATCCGTAAGTCTTCGAACTCTAAGCCTAAAGTCGTTCATTACGACAGGTTAGCTCATTACTATGGCCATAGTACGTAATATAAATAATTGTAAATAGTGTAAGACAATGGCCCTTTTTTTTCTAAATGTGTATTTAGTATTTAGTATTTGATTTAGCATTAATAGCGTTTGATCTTGTTAGTTCATTGCGTTTATTGTTCATGCTGTGTTTGTTATTATAATGTAATGCTTTTATTATTACATTTATGCCTTAGTTGTAAGTTTGGCTTCCTGTCCACGGGATTGTACTGCCCGGGATGTGCAGTCCTTGGGAAGGGGGCAGTGTTACAGGATTTCATATTTAAATACCTAATGTTAGTTGTAATTATAAATTAAATTGGTTTTATTCCCCGCACAGTGCAGTGCGTGACAAATATTAAAGAAAAGCTAAGCCGGAAAATTGAAAATACAAGAGTAAATATACAAGAGCACGTGCATTTAACATTTAATAAATATCTCTTTTTGATTTCGAGAAAGTACTAGAAAATTCTCGCGTGCGATTTTAAAATCTTATAAAAGGAGAAAAACCTCTCAGTTTGTTGAAGTTACTTAGTTTGTTGCTGTTTTAAGAGTTTGTTTAGAAAACTGCTCTTGTTGACTGTAGTGAATTCGCTGATAGCTTTCTCTAGCTGTTTAGAGTTAAGTTCTCTTGAACGTTTGAGTAGTTAAAAGATAACTACTGTGATATATTGTAATACTGCACGAATATTTTAGGAAATTTAAGCACATTTGCTGCAATAATAATAAATTTTTGTTCATTTTTCATTGGACTTGTGCATTCATTTCGTAACGAACCCGTACGCACGCAACAATATATTAACATTATGCATCATTTTATAAGGCCGTTCTGTCAGATTTGAAAAATGATTATGAAATTCTTCACATCAGATTTTACTGATTGCTATTTGAGGTGTGACATTTGTCAATACATATGTTTCATTCCATGATATGAACACAGTAAATCTTAAATACTTATTTTCATCGATATTAAAACAATTTAATCAGAAGCTCGATGTAATATGTGCATAGAGAATCGACCAGAACATATAAACCAAAAAAGTATATTAGTGAGATGACACTGCTTAAAAGAAAACATCAAAAGAATATTTTTGGACAAAACAGAGTAGGTACTGGACAAAAGAAAAAACAAAATTAAGATGAACTTACTCCATTATTAAAAAATTTTAAATTTTAGATATCAATAATGTCAAAAATAAAGTTGCAACTGTTAAGAACAGGACAAGATGGCAATTATGAATATTTGCAGTATTACTATAGTTAATAAAAGATGCTTGTAATGCCATATATTACCTCCTTGATACAAAATCATTTGGTTTTTACAATTATTATTATCTGCATACATTCATGCATTAATTAGCCCAGATAAAAGCAATGCATTTTTCATTTTTGCCATACAGAAATATTCCATTTATTCTATTTTTCTCCCTTTAGAAATTGATTTTATGCATAGCACATATATAAAATTCTGGGACTCAAAGAAATTGAATAAGAAATTGAAATTTGAAGGAAATAAATTTTATCATAGCCTTTTTATTTAATGCTATACAGCATTATAACGATTGCAAAAAATCAAACAAATATTTTTGATTTAAATTCATTTCCATAAGTAGACACTATTTTATACAAAGCAAGCTGTGTTAGCAATTATTATCAGTAGTTATCATGTAGTCATTTTCACTGAAAATGGATAAAAAATTCAGTTCTAAAATCTTGAGGAGAATTGAACTTTGAGCATTATATATTACAATGTGATTATAATAGTAACTGAATTTGACATCCTAAATAGAATTCTAAATTAAAAAAGGTTAAATCCTTAAAATGATATGTAAAAACATATGTTATGTAAATATTATGTAAAAAAATATGTTAAATAAATAAATTTATTTAAATAAAGAAAGCTTACTTGATCTGTTGTCTTGCTTCTTCTATTTTTTGTTCTTCCAGCTCTTTATGTTTCTGGAATTCTTCTCGTTCTTTTTGCAGTTTTTTCCAGACCTTGAATAAATAAATAATAACCCAATAAACAAAAATTGAGATTATTAATAAAATAAGCAAAACTGTATATTATACGAAATAATAACATAAAGTTATTAAAAATATTTCTTCAAAACATCACTGAGTGAAAAAAGCAACAACACATTTGAGTTATTTCCAAAGAATAACAGGAAAGATATTATACTCATGTCCCCCTAAGAAAAGAGGACTTTTTTAATACTCAGGAATAATTTTCTTGGAATCAATCAAGAGCAAATGCAGATTCCCAAAATGATAGCTCTTGGTGACAATACAACATTTTATACATTTATTTTAACCGTTTGAGTTCCAGGAGGTATTGAAAAAACACTGTCGAAGAATCCCAAATAGCACAACCACGCTTTCTCTAAATGAGTATGAAAAGACCCAAGCAGCAAGATAGTGCTTGTTTTATTTTATATCAAGAAATACCAAGCAACACGATAGCACTTTGTTTATTTTGTATAGATGTGCACTTGATTTAAACCAAGTGCCCATATTATCAACATCAAATGCACCATCAGTTGTCCACAATGTTCAAAATGTACTGGGTTTTCTTGACATAAAACCTCAACAGTGCGATCACGCTGCTTGGGACTTAAATGGTTAAATACAGTCTGTCAATTATCAGAGGCAATCCAAAGGATAATACCCATATTAATTAAAACCCTGCTTAATCTGATAGCAAGGGGGTAAATACGAAAGAGGAATAATCCATATTATAATTAACAATACAAAAAATTATTTACAATTTACCTCTTAACTTTTAGGATAAATTCATTTGGTTATGTAAATTAACATTCAAAATAACAGTTCCTTTAACAATTATTAATTTAACAATATTTATACATTTTGGATTACATACATTTAAATTATAGACTACTATGGAATCAAACAATTCTCAAATACTAATCCTCATTTGCTATCACTACTGGTATCTAACACTCTCCATTTCATATTTTCTACCAACAATTTAGTTTAATGCTATTGGTTTCAAACAAAAATACATATTATTAATGTATATATATATGCTACTACTTACACAACTTTTCCACCTTCCCCCCCCCCCACAAAACTTTTTTTTTTTTTTTTTTTTAAATAGAGGGTTCGGTTAGGCACAAGTTCACTACATTTTACCTGGGTTCGAATCCCAGACATGGAATAGAGGTTTGTTAACATATAGTGTCTGCATGGCAAACTACATGGCAAGCCAAAAGTCCTCTTGAGAAGTTGGTGATAGGGGAAAAAGAATGGGAGGCTCTTGCCTTTATCAGATAAAATTAATTTTTTTAATAAATTTTAGATTTATAATTAATTAATATATATATTAAGGACCATAAAACAAAACAAAATGTATGATTTTGTTTATGCCTTTTTTGGTCTTATTTCATCAGAGGTATCAGGATAACAACAGATTCAGGTGTAGTTGTTTTAACTTTATGATCTGATGAAATGTTAATATAAAGTATAAATTTATAAAATTTTATCTGATAAAATTATTGTAAAATATCTACTTTTAAATCATGAGCTAAAAAACATAAAGATAGTATAAATGATGCTATAAATAATCCTTTTGTATAATTTCCTATAGGTTTAAAAATTTTGAAGACAAAATCTTTTTATTATCTGAAGATTCTATAATTGCATCTTTAAAGAAAACATTATCTTCTTTTATTTCTTTTCATTTAACAAAACTTAAATTTTTAATCTTAACATAATCAGATTTTGCAAATCAATAAACTACATGAAAAAGTAATCACCAAACTTGTGATTGATAACATTTTTATTTTCTTGCATAGCAGATCTTTATTATCAGTTAATATATAAAAAAAATGATACTACACTATTATTATTTTTAAGAGATGATAATAATAGTGAATATTTTTCAACTATAATTTTTACAGGATACATAAAATTATAATCTCAATTTACATTTCAATTGTATTAATTTATTGCACATTTGCCTTATATATTTTATTTAATATATTAAACTCTTTTTTAATCTTTATTATATATACCGTATTTGATGGCATATAAGACACACCCTTATTTAGAAGACCACACACAAGGAAAAAAAGTTTGTCTACGTGTGTCTAGATCTTTATCCGGGCTAAAAATTGCATTCAGTATTGAAAGTTAACCTGTGTCCTTCACGTATAAGATGCAGGTAACTTTTTTGAGACCAAATTTAGGAAAAAAGTTGTGTCTTATATGCCGTCAAATACGGTAATTAGTTTTTTGTTAAACAAAACATATTATGCAGATCATTATAAATATAGTGTAATCTAAATTTTTTTTTGCACATTATTTAAATCATAATATGATAAATTTTATCCTTTACATCAAATGGAAATATTTCATTTTCAAATGATTCTAATAAATATTCCATTCCTAATTTATTAAATGAGTTTATAAATTCATTCAAATTACAACTTTTTCCATTATTATTTATAAAATCATTTTCATTCACTTCCAAACTGTTATTTAAAAATAAATTTTCTATAACAATAATTTTTCTTAAAATATAATATTCTATTCATTTATCCCGGGTTTAAAATTTAAAAAAAAAAAAAAATTTTTTTTTTACATTTTTTATGTACAGTTTTTTATATTTGCCATTAAGTGGTGTCTCGTTAACCAAAACATAACATTCAATGCTATAATATGATTCAAATGAAAATAAAATTCATAACTCATCAAGAAACATTACATTGGCATTTTAGAATCATTCACTAAATATATATTTATATATACAAGCTTTAGAAAACACAAAGCTAATTAATTGAAACAAAATATTACAATTCTCATCTGCATTAATTAACAGAATCACTTTATTTGTTTTGCAAAATTTACAAAGTATTTTTAAGAAAGATATTTATTCATATATTTTTATGATCAATTACAAACCTCTTCTCTTTCTTTACTAAGTTTTGATAGCCGTGCATTATGCTCTTGATATACTTCAATTTCATTTTCCAGTTCTTTCATTTTTTCCCTAAATGCAGCTCTTTCAGGTGAACATCCTTCAACTGCATCTGCTGTTTCTTGCTGAATCAAATTCTCCTAAGAAAGATATTTTTAATTATAAACATATTTCTAAAAATGGATTACATATGTTTTTTATAATACCATAGCTGCAAACCTTTAAAATATGAAAAAAACCCGAATGTTTCCTTTCCCTTCTTGAAGGTTTTACGGCAGCATGGTGGCATCATTTCAAAAGAGATCTTAATTGACTTAAATTCCTTTTTTCATGCATGACTCCGGTTATTCAACTATTTATTATACAATTATGATATGAAGTATATTACTAATTAATTAAATATTCAAAAATTTGTGTTCTTTTGATAATATCATTTTGCATTGTTCTTACACTTTTCTAAATAGAAAAAACCCTGAACATGGAAGGAGAGTTTTAATTTATCAAAAGATTTTCAAACACAATTAAATGAAATAATTAATATATATACTATTGTGAGGATAATCTTAATAATATACCATATATTGGTGTAAAACAAAAGTATATCCAAATACTTATTGATTAAACATTGGTTAAATCTTCATTTAAAATTATACAAAATGTCTACAATAAATTAGATCTTTCAACAATAAATTTTTTTTTAGATATAGGGGGAAGAAAGAAAAATTCTACAAAATATTATTTATATGTGTCAGAAGAACTCTATTATAATATATTAACAAATTTTGACTTGAATTCTAGAAACTAATAACACAGGAATTGCCACCATCAGGTCTCAAAGTAAACAGTTGAGAGGGAAAATAAACATGGATAAGCTGCCAGATGAGACGCATTACCAGCAGGTCCGAAAGGGCTAAGGTAATTCAGTTCAAATAAAATGTAACTAATTAATTAAAGTAATTAAAATTTAACAAATAAAAAATTACACTGTTAATTCCTAAGCATCGGAAAACAAAATTTGTAGTTTAAGTTTCATTATTTTAATAAATTTTATTTATTGCTAAAAACCACTTTCCTTAGTAAAGACCAAAAGTTAAAAACCTAGAGATTCGGTGATTGACTGGAAGAAAAAAATTTCCTTTTACAACATATTTTTCAGATAAATTCGGTGTTGGTATATTTTTTTACTTTGCATAATTTTTGAGCTTGTTTCAAAAGTTATAATTAAATTAATATTAATGATCTAAACTACAGAATATACATAGGTAAATAGGAGGAGATTTCAGAATCATGCAATATTAATATTCTACCACTCGAAAATGCATTCTGCAGAACTTTTAGATTCCAAGCAACACCTTTAGAGGTTCTGCAAAAGAAAATCTGAAAATATTTTTTTAATACTACATAAACTCAAAACTAATTATCTAAACTAATTACCATATTTCAAATTTAAACCACACTTTTTAAAACATAATTTAAAACAAAAAAACATAACAAATAAACAAAGAAGAAACACAAAATTTAATAAAAATTTCTTTAAAAAAACTTAAATTCAAAGCTATTTTTGGTTATTTTCTCTAATTTTAGATTCAAACAATATTTTTTCCAATTTTTAATATTTTTTATTTTTATTGTTGCCTAAAATAACAAAGTGAATATGATTATCTTTTCATTTTCCAGTTAAAGTAAACACTGATATATCCAACACTAATACAGGTTTAGTGCTTTTTTAACATTTTAATTTTTCTGAAAATGGTAAGGGTTCACACGAAATTATAGTTTTAAAGGTTCCCCCCCCCGAAAAAAAAATTACAACGTGAGGAATTCCCCAATATGACAAAGTTTGAAGAACCAGGTTCTGCAGAAAGAGCTATTACAGAAGATTATCAACTAGATTAAAAGTTCTTTAAGTAATTTAGTTTTTGAAACAGAAAATTTCCTTTTAAATATATTTTTGACAATAGTTAAAAATCAACAAAATCTATAAAATCTTGCATATGCTTTTGAAGTAATTAATATTTATGTAATACATATATTCAAAATAATGCTTCAGTTTAATTTTGAAATTGATGAAAAACATTAAATCTGTTGAATGCCACAATAAGAATTTCTATACATGGTAATAACTGTCTTGAAAACAAAATCATAAATGAAGCTTGTAAAATAATCAAACTTAACTACCTTTTTCTGTAAATAGTCCTGGCCAGTCACATATTCATCAGAAATAGGAATATCTGAAACATTTTCAATAATGGTGAATAGATAACAATGATTGCTGGTAATATATAAAAAAGAGAAACTGTACTTAATTCACAAGTGTCTAAATTGTATAATTTTTAACCATTACTAAAAAGACCCACTCCAATTCCAGTGCTGTCAAGAGATGGATGATTTGCTCTGGAACAAATTGACAAAACTGAACAAATAATCAGCGCTCCAGCAAAAATGGAAAGGCAGTTCCATAATAGTTCACCAAGAGCTGCTGTTGGGAAGCATGCCAAAAATTTGTTTCCTCTTAATGTAAACACTAGCAGTCTTTACACTTTACATACCAGTCTTTCCTTTATTATTTAAAGGAAACATCTCTGACCTATTTTTTATGTGTGTACATGTGTTATGTCTGTATTTATGTGTGCTTTTAGTTTGCTTGTAATTCATATAGTATTTAAAAAAACAAAACACTCGGATTCCCAGCTGTCAGCGCTCCTGGCACTCTGACACTAATCGCAGTTCTCGGTCCTTCAGAGTGGTGATTACAGGGGCGGGTTTCATAGTTCCTATAATCATGTTTAAAGGAGAAGTTTTCATCGCTCCTGCTGTAGCTGCGGATTTGATTCCGAAGGAGGCTTCATTATTCACTCTTTCAAATCTGGCTTCTGTGAGGTCTTGATTATTTGTTCTTTTCATTTCCTCGGAGCTGTTCCTTTGAGTTTCATTTCGGTTCTTTGAATACTGAATATATATCTAGGTATATTAGGTATTTCCTTTTTTATACAATATTACTGTAATATTTATGTAAAATAATAAAATTATATTTTTACTTATTTACTTATTTTACTAATGTCTTGTAGTTAAGAGCTGTGAATTTCTCTTTAATCTTCTTTAGAATTAGTATATATTTATAAACATAAATTTTTTCATTTAATGTACTTTTTTCAAGGTTGAAAAATAAAACGTGGACTCTAATGAATAGAAGAACCTTGAGCAATAATATTTGGTATCATTTTGTCAAATTAGATTAAAGAAAAAAAAAGGGGTGGGGAAATCCCAGTATTATCAGCAGACAGTTTCCTGTTCTTTGGGATCTGCCGTAAATCTAAAAATTTATTTTCACATTGTGTTTTGAAGTAGCAACAAAATATCAATAATAGTAATAAAACAATATAATCATTAACATAAATGAATTTTGGTTTCATTATTTTTTAACATATTTTTTTCCCCCAGAATTTTATTGTTGTTCTATGTAGAAAGTTTTTATTTTTTTAAATTTTTTTTTAGGCAATTTGAAAAGTCTAGTTGAAAGAAATCAGTGAAGGGAGTGAGCAGTTTGGTTGAGTCAATTCTAGTGATCCCACTCCTTGTTCCATTCTTTCTTTCCCCCCATCTCTGCACACCACACTTGATCTACGCCTGTTCTGAGCACATTCATTAAGGTGATTATTAGGAGAATTGAAGTTTTAAAAAGAATCAATGCATTTCGGTGAGCGAATGGTTCCGATATGGTCCCTCAAAGGAGCTGTTTTGCCTATCACTAGTGCTGTCCCATTTACAGAAATTACTTTTCATGCATACAAAATGTTACATAAGCTTTTTTTAAGTTTCAGACTTTTCCATACTACCTACAATGATTTACAATTAAATACCCATATTAATCCCATTTTTTTAGTTACTTATTTACCATTACAGATAGAATAAAAACTATTATAACTGGTGAACCTATAAAAAGTGTTGTTATTTCACTCCCAACCCCCAAGTAAGCTTGAATGGAGAAACAATTTTTAGAAAAATATTAAGAAGTTTTCTGAGTAAAAAAATAATTATTTAGTTATGATTATACATAATACTGTATTAAAATACTAAGAAGTTACATAGGTAAAAGAACTTATTAAAATTATAACTATTTAACTAATAACTAAGTTAAAATATCATTCTGTGAGGATTATATGGTTTAACATTCTTGTATTACTGTTCAAACAGAAACTGCTACAACTGCTACTACATAGCATTGTAGTAATAAAAAATATACAACTTTTCTTTATTTTAAATATGGGAAATGTTAATTACAATTTAACAGCATAGTGAATTTGTTTTCCAAATTTTAAAAATCAAAACAAGCTCTAAATTTTCAGAAATTTTACTGAATATCTGAAAAATATACAGTCAAAAGTTGTTAATCCAGACTCGTCGGAACTTCGGCGATTCCGGATTATCGATTTTTCCAAATTATAGATCATCAGTTTCAATCTAGTCAGATGGTCAATTTATAATTAATGCTCTATTCGGTTTATTTTAAATTAGAGAATTATTAGAAATTAGCGAAATACTTTAAATAGTACTTAACTTTCTCTGAACATTTCTGAAAGGGAATAAAATAAGTTTTTTTTTAAAGTATTATTTTAAACTTGTAACTGAGTTATTATAAAATGTAAGGGGAATAATTCTTTTAATTATACTTATCAGATTTTTTTTACCATTAATTTCAACAATACATATTTCAAAACTCTTTATTACTTTCTTAAGTGCGCATCTCATAGCATTTGCTTTACAATGCCTTTTAACAGATTGCTTTCCAGTACGAACAATTCTTGCTTAAATAGTTTTATAACGTATTTGTGAACAGGATTTCAATTTATGTTTACAATTCAATATTAAGGTTATTATATGTTTAGATAACATTTATAATCATTATAAATTAGATACATTTAATAATTAGATTTCTTCACAGTTGTTCATAAATGAATAAATTCTTCATTTCAAATACATTTATAAATAATTTAATGAATATTTATGTATTTTGTTAAAGGTAGATACATGCTTTTTGCAAGCACATGCATAAATACCCATACATATTTCATATTTTTCATTTCTGGCATGTGCAAATCTTTAATTTCTGTGCATTCACTATATTTTATTTTTAATTAACCCAAACAAGTAAAACGTGTAAGCCCAAATGGATTATTTTTCTGATATATAAAATTAAAATGATGAGTTTAAAATGATCGACAGTAAAGCCTCTCCTCTAAAAAATTTTAAAAGGTACATGTTACAATAATATATGGATGTGAAAAAAATTTATTTTATTTAAAACATTTTGGCGTTTGAAACATAAAATAAAAGTAGCGAATACTCTATCAAGGGTATCGAAAGACGTGTACAATTTTAAAGGTACCATAAGGTATTTTTCATTCTTTAAGCATAACATGTTTGTTAAAATTTATATTTTTGTAGTTCAACAGCTTAGAATTTTATAAAACAAATTCATAATCAAAATCGCTGTTGTTAGTTATTGAAAAATAACCAAGATGTGATTTTTGCATAAATGTTACTAAACTATACAAATTGCTATTATCTATCTGAATGTAAACAAAGAACTTCTTCTGAATGTAAACAAAGAACTCCCCATCTGGTGACCGAAGCTTCGAAGCAGTGCTTCACTTCTAGTGCCGGTTGGCCACTCCTTCCTTTCTTACCTCCATGGCGTGAAATTGATAAACAGATTTCAGAATGGTTAGAGAAACAAAGGATATGCATTTATCCATTTTTTTTGCAGCAATTCCACTTTTTGTTTAATGGACTTCGAAACATACTTTCGCTTTGTAGATCCTTTACATATTAGTAAATATATATCGGCAATTCTATTTGACATAATCGAAAGTTCAAGCTTACTTTTATAAAATTGCTCTAACAGTCTGCAAAAAATAATAAGCCGGATCCAATTCGAAGATTAAGGAACAACGCAATCTGCAACATTAACTGAATTAGATAATTTTAGCTTAGCTTATACCGTCCGTTATACGTTAAATGCGCATGCATATTTGCAGCCGTAAAGTCTTACGTGCATGCGTCAACGCGACGCATGCACAGAAAATTTGTAGCTTTGAGGTCCGGATTATAGATCATTCCAGATTATGGGTGTCCGAATTAACGACTTTTGACTGTATTTCTTTTAACATTACTGAGAAATAAAAGCTATATGCTAATTAAAAAATGAATATTTAAAAAATATATACACAATTTTAAGTTTCTAGCAGTCTGAATGGCAATATAAAGAAATAAAATTACATTACCATTGTGAAATGCAAGCTTAGAAGGTCTAGTAGCAACATCGCCATCATGAATTGTAGAGCTTGATGAATCAAAAGATTCATTAGCACATTCATCTACTCCTACTGCCATTTGTATATCCTTATTAAGGCCATTGTCCGGAGTACTGCACCTTTCATTCACATTAAGATTATCATTCATGAAAGTGTTCCTATCAGATGGTGAAATTTCTTTCTGTAAGGATGCTATTCTTGGATCAATATCTGATATCAACTGTTCTAGCCTATTTTTCCTAGCCTGCACATCATCAAGGAACTTGTTAAGATTAGATTTTACAGAATACCCAGAATTTTCTTCAACAGATCTCCTGTTCGGCTCCCTGAATAAACATCAAAGAGAAGATACAATAGTACACATGAAGAAAAATGAAATTGAAAAGAAATGTCACATAACACATTATCTAAAGTCTATCATATTTTATAAAACCATTCTTTAGCAAAACACACATTCGTAGCATGCTTATCAAATTCTTGGGGAAGGGAAAGAAGCAGAATCTTCTATTGTATGAATAAGTATCACTCAGAATGCCTTAATTTTTTATTAATTTTATTTACTTATTTATTTTTTAACTTTTTTATACTTAGCAGCAGATTTCTTCAATATTTACAAAGAAGAGAAAAATTTCATTACAAACTTTCTAACAGACACCTACAGCCCAATATTTTATACATGCTAACATGCATATTGTTCACAAACATGCAACTGGATCTAAACACTGGACTGGATTACATTACTGACTCGAGCAAAGCACACAACACAGCTATCTGCTATAATCAACAGCATCCCAGAAATGCAATTTAACAATGCTGCACACCTCTTTCATTACCATGAAAACTTCAGCATAAAAAAATTTTTAAGCATCTCTATTCCATAAAGACGCTATAATCACAGGCTTCCATACTTAATCCATTTCTGAAACGCAACAGCATAAATCTGATAGAAAATCTTAAGTAAACACACCTAATAGGGCAGCTAACAGTTCAATGAAGTTCCAGGATGGATGATGACGAGCGATTGATGAATTGGTGGACACATAATTAAAGATTATGATGCACCAGATGTATAATCTAAATATGAAACAAGATGTGTGTATACATATATAGGTATATATATATATATATAGAGAGAGAGAGAGAGAGCGATATATTAGAACCTGAGCACTAAGAATAAAACTTAGAAAGCAATAAGCATGATTATGAGATATACAGATAAAAATGTTATGTTCTTTAAAAATGAAAACAAAAATAGGCACATAATATGGTTTAGATTATCTGCAAATCAACCATGGCCTGTGGCTATTAAAAGCAGTAATGGCCTTTGTTGTCAGGATACCAAAGAGAACTCTTTTCAAGACATGTTTTTGATACATTTATGATCAAAAGCATGATATGGTTCAAACTTAAGGTTGAATCATACCTTTAATTTTTCTATAGATAACAAAAGTTTCTAATTTACGCAAAGGCTCCCGCCAAAATGATTAAATTTATGGTAGAATTCAGGAGTGCTAGTCTTTCAGTCAGGTATTTGCCTGCCAAATACAAATTGTTAGCATACTACGTATGAAGATGGTAATGCAATCATTTAAAAAGGTTCTGCATTTATTAGTTTTTGATAAAGATAAAATACATGCACTTTATCATTTAATTTTTTTTAAATAAGCACGTTTTCGTCTTTCTCCCTACGGTACTGAGATGAGATAAAATCTAATGAAGAACAATTTGTCTTTGGCAGTCAAACATATGACAGAGATTAGTATTTCCAAGCTGCCTCATAAGCAGAAAGTCTATTTTAACAGTCATAGCCTTCAGAAGGATTCAGCATCACAGCATGAAAGAATAAGTGGAGTCTACATCTCAATTATGGCATTAATTGCAACTTAATAAAAAAAATCCTAATATTTTATCCCTAGCAGCCTATCCACTCAACCAACAAAAATGATTTTTTTTTTTTTTTTTTTTTTTTTTTTTTTTTTTTAGTATGCAGTTGAGACTGTGATGATTTAAAATAACAGAGCTGTCACAGTTGTGATTACGATGAAAACATTTCAAAATTTTTGAATGGCAACATCCACTTTTTTTCCTGCACATATTGATCAGTTCATTGAAAAACCATAAAGAGAATTGGAACGATATGCTTTAGATGAAAATTGCAGGCATAAAACATTTGCAAAATAGAGCATTGTAAAGGATAAAGAACAACACAAGACGGGAAAGGGAAAACACTTTTATTGGAATTACATGTTCTTACCCTCATATTGGATGCAAAAGATTTTTGACAAGAATGAAGAACATAACATTGCAGAAGGAATTAGTATAACTTCAATTTTTATGGCATCTTCCAATTCTGACAAATCTTGTGGATCTGATGTGTACACCATAGATTTCAGATAACCTCAGAACCAGAAATCACATTGAAATGAGATCGGGGGATCATGGTGGCCACAAAACGGCAAAACGGAAAGTTACAAAAGATGACTTTATATCCAAAGTACTGTTACAGCACTTGCCAAACACATATGAAAACATATGGAAGAGTATCTATCATCTTGCATTCACACAATAACATTAATAGTATTTCCCTGCTGAGATTCTGGACTTCAGTAATTCTGCAGTATTGTAGTATACTGAGCAATTGTGGTGGAGTACATTTTCATATCTGTGAAAGTGAACCCTTTGGAGAAGTATGAACCAAGAATGAATGCGCTTGGTTCATACTTGATTAAGTGATGCTGCAGTCACTTAAGCTTTGTGACGCAGCATCACTTAATTAAGTATGTTAAGATGCTGGTGTCACACCATGAGGATTCTAGTCAGTCCAGTTAATGCAATTCTCTGAGTTTACATCCCCAGTTAAGGAGAAATGTGCCTCATCCATCCATAATATATGCAGCAGCCTCCTGCTATCTTCATCATATGTGATGAGGAAAACATTCAAAAAATTCACATACTGTTGCCCGCCTCCATGTTACATCTCGATGCATTGGAATTGATAGGGAAATATTTACATAACAGAAGTTTGAAGACTTTGGAGTACATCTAAACTGTGGGCAACACTTCTTGCAGTATACAGTGAAGCTAATAGTAATTATATTATGTACTTTTGAACAATTTCAACAGAGATACATGGTTGTCTGGATCATAGTCTATCATATATACAAGTAATTCCTTCAAATTTGTTACAAACATGTACAGTTTTTACAAAAAAACAAATCATGTACAGTTTTTACGGAACATGGGCCTCATCTTAGTTTATGATTTTGCTGATAAACGTGCAATACTTCGGCAGCATTTTTCCTGTTCAGATAAAACAGCTTTATCAATTCACCTAGTTGTTATCCTGAAAATATCATCTTGTCAGCATGTCCAAACACCTGATTGAAGAGACAATCTTCCCACACTGTTTATTAAACATTTTCCACAAGCAAAGCTTTCCACGTGATGTTCTGCGATTGTTACTTCTATTGTCTATCTCTGTTAATTATACAAAGGGCGTCAAATACATATCCTTTCTGTGTTGCCATTGGTCCTTTACAATGCTGTCTTCTTTGCAAATGTTTTTCACCAACAATTTTTGTCATATATATATTATTCCAACACCATTTATGGGTTTTCAATGTGTTGATTAATTTGTGCAGGAAAGAAGTACATGTTGTAATTCGAAAATTTCAACATGTTTTCACTGCAGCTGTAAGCATGAGAGCTCTGTTGTTTTACATCATTGCAATCTTGACCACATACCTTCAAAAACAATATCAGAAATTTCTTTTTCACTTGGTTGAGTGGATAGACCACTAGTGGTTTATATACTGAGGAAGCTTTTCTATGACTACCTTGTACTTCAAATTTAATATAGCTGTGGTATAGATTTAACAATCTTCAATTCATAATTATCTTAGTTATGACTCAGATACTGCTCTGTACTAGGTACTTTTTTTATGTCAATATCTGTACAAGGTATAAAGGGTGGCCTGCCCAAAAATTTTATTTATGGAGGTTTAATTTTTTTTTTTTTTAAATTCCAAAACATCAAGGTACCTAGCAGTATAGAATATTATATTAAAATAAGATAATTATATTAATAATAATCAATAAGACCAGAACCCAAAAGTATCCTTGTAAATCTGTGATAAAACTCTCTTCAGTTCAAGTACTGTGAAATTAATAAGATCCTAAAATGAGAAAGTTAACCCCTTCTAGGTCGGATTTTTGTTTCGAATTTCTGACCTCCCAAAAAGCATTTTTTTTTATTGCTGAAAATTAATGTACGTTCTATCTTAAATTTTCAAATTTAGAATAGTACAAAATAGTATAAAATGCAAAATGTTCTTCACAGTAAGCAGTTTTTGCTAGACTTACAGGTGGTCAAGTACGTGATATCTCGTCCACTGATCACCAGTTTTCCCTGCAATGCACCCAAGTTTTAAATTAAAAAAAAAAAAAAAAAAAAAAAAAAAAATACAATGATACCATATTTATTAACTCTATTGTTTTGATGTGTTTAATTTAAATATCTACATAAAAATTATTATTATTACATTAAACGCTTTAGAAAATGGTTTCCCAACCTTACTGTTAATACAGCTTTACAGTCTGCTTTGGATATCAGAGCATAAAAACCACTTATTACAAAACCAAATCATTTTTTTAATTAAAGAAAATTTATTTTTGCTTACTTTATCAAAAAAAATTGGCTATGAATATAAAAAATATCTTGAACAGTTTTTTTAGTAGAAACTGCAACAGATATCACACAGATATTCAAGGGAGAAATATCGCTATGAAAATTGTGCTAGTCCCGCTATCTCTAAGCAATATTCAGAATTCAACAACGGAATTTTTCACTTCATCGCATGGCATGTGATGCTGACCTTACGAGCATGAAAAAGCCGAACGTGTGAGATATGATGCTGGCCTAGAAGGAGTTAAAACTGGAGTCTTTAAGCATGCAATATGGTACACAGAAGAATAGTTTCTACTGTTAGACAAGACAGCAAACATTTCCATATAGCTCTTTCTCATCTGATGCAGATCACTTGGCTATCTTTTTTCATTACAGAAAGTGATCTGTATGAATTTCCAATACTGTATAAAATCTTTTCCAAATATATTCGCTTATGGTTATAAGAGTATTATATTTGACACACAGCACACCCAGGAATCCCTCTAATTTTGGTGATGAACTTTAACACCTTTGCAATGGGTTCTTCAAAGATCACTGGATTTGAAAATGTAGAATAATATCACGCTTTTATTTTTTATTTATTTTGAATATTTTTCAAGATGCATGATCTCATCATTACTGAGGTTATTTGGAAAATCTTGATGACTTATATATGGAAAGTACAGCTGCCTATGTAACGTTATCGGTATGGTTTACAATACTTTTTAGTTGACACATTTCCCCCTCTATTTTGTCATCCATGCAACAAAGAGACCCTAGAAAACTCTATTAAGAATAAATCTAGATCTGAGAGTATTTAATACCCTTCCTTCAAAGAAGTAGAACACATGCTAATTTTTAATTCAAAAATACATGGCAGATGTCATTAACATGAATACGCTATTCACTTCTTTTGATGCATATATACAATTTTCTACTTCTTTATTTTTGAAATATTCATATATTACAATCTAATACTTCTTCAATACTGAATATTTTTATTTCTTTGAATTTTTCCAATATTTAATGCGTCTTCTAAAACTGGTATTCTTTTTTCCCCATATGAAAAAAGGATGTATTGCTATAGTGATTGAATAACACCTTGAAGTACACTCATGTCCAAAAATTAAGGATAATTCGGAGTCACGCGGAAATCGAACTCTAAAATAAATATATCACCTGTAAAATCACTACACACATCTTCAAGAATCATATGCAAATTTCAGGAAGTAACTAGATGACACCGACGGTATGTCACAATGACGAGAGTGATATATAAGGAATACAGGCAGAGACGTAAAATTGTTCACAGGCGCTTTATAAGCATTTCAGTGCAATAACCGAATAGTTATGACACAAAGGACACATTTGGATGATTTTTTACATGGTAGAATTATCGGCCGTCTGGAATGTGGGCATACCCAACTGGAAGTATCTGATGAACTTGGAGGCTTTGGCAATGATTCCAAGATGATGGTAATGTGAGTAGACGTTACAGCACAGGTCACCCCAGAGTTACAACGCCGAATGAGGGCCGGTATTTGGCAGTTACTGCCAAAAGATACAGGCGGAGCACAGCCTCAGACCTGTCTCGTCAGTTCTCTTCAGCCACTGGTACAACAATTTCAAGGCAGACCGTGTACAGACGCTGAGGGCAGATTGGTCTATATGCTTGTAGACCTGTCAGATGTGTTCCACTTACTGCAACTCACTGTCGCCTGCGGTTAGCCTGGAGTAGAGGGCATGCATTGTGGACACCGCAACAGTGGGTTTGTGTGATGTTTTTCGACGAGTCCAAGTTTAGCTTGCAGCCTGATTCTCGCCGGACTTTCATATGGAGAGCTCCAGGTACCCGTTACCGCCAAGAAAACATCATTGAACGACACCGTTACGGTGGTGCAAACGAGCAATCCTCGTTTGGGGTGGAATTATTCTGGGTTCCAGAACTGACCTGCATGTTCAAATTGGAACCATGATAAGCCAAATCTATCGAGACATCATTCTGGAACAACATGTACGTTTGTTTCGGGGCGCCATGGGCGCACAATTTGTGTTTATGGATGACAACGCCCATCTTCACCGTGAAACATCGTAAGCAAATGCCTTCAGTCAGAGGACATCACCCGTATGGACTGGCCAGCATTCTTGCCCGACGAGTTGCAGCCCGTCAACCTCCTCCTACATGTCTACCGGAACTTCAGAGAGCATTGCTTTTTGAGTGGTGTAATATTCCCCAAGATCAGATCGATAATTTGATACTCAGCATGCCTAGGCGTTATACGGACTGTATTGCATCGTCTGGGAGACATACAATGTATTAACATTCATACCAACCATGTAATATTGGTTTTTTGTAAATAGCTTTTTTTCTTCTTTTTTTTTTTTTTTTTGTAATTTGCTCTAGGGAGAAAAAATCGCTAATTTTTTTAATAATATCAAACATATAGCATCTTTTTTTGCTCTTTACCTTTTGTTTAATAAATAAGCTTTACAAATAAGTCAAATTTGTTTTGCTTCTAACTCTTCCTTTGCCTGATTTTGCATTATCCTTAATTTATGGACATGAGTGTACAATAAAGACTCTCAAGGCCTCTGATTACTCCTGAAAGTGATAAATAAATATCACAATGAACATCACCTTTCTAAGATGACAAAAAACCATTTGGAACCACACTACTAAATGTGGTTTCAATGTGGCTGTTTCAGAGAGCTATCACTGTATGGCATTCTCTGTCTATTACTTTTGAATTTATTACAGTTTTAGGATCCTGATCAACTGTGCGGGGAAGGAATGGGAAGCTTAATGTAAACAAAGAGAGCTCAGGCTCTTTAACTCGCCATACAAACATTCATGTTTGTGACGTCCTTCTGAATTCTTTTTTGGTACTGTGTAGGATCTTTTAGGGTTACTACATGGGGTTCTATTATGCTTTGCATTGCTTTTATCTCTTATATTTTGCATACTTCCCTTTTTATTTTGGAAAGCCTTGACTTATGTTTATTATGGTGAGCCAGCATTATTTATAGAAGGAAAGATATATTTGCATGGTAAACGAGCTAATTAGTGACATGGATGAGAAAGATGATTAATTTTCTAAAGAGTAAGAGAGCGATATTTCTAGTGATTCTTGTACAAACATTTTTTCTGAGTTTCACTTCCCGTGAAACATTTTAGTACTTCTTCTTGTAATGTATTTTGCCAATTAAAATTTTGGAGTAATTTGCATAGTGCTTCTGAAAATTATTTCTCAAGGTAAGCAAGTTTTTTTATATATTTTCATAGTAAAGATTCGTAAACGATTACAAAATGCTAATTTTAACATATATGAGAGCTTAAGTAATAATCTAAAACAGTACCAAAAATTATGATGCTAGGGCTTAAATCTTTTTTTTTATTTTTTTTCCTTTCTAGAGTTAGGCTTAGTGATGCCAAATCTCAACACTGTGAGATGATTTCATTCCTTTCAACTCACATCCATACCAAGGGAACCTCTTAAACAAAGGTGCTCTGTCTCGAAAGGGTTAAAATCTTTATTTCTCAAGGTATCCAAAATTATATAAATTGCTAAAAAACAGTTATCCAAACAGGTATCCAAAATAATATAAACTACTAAAAAAATCCACTTGAAGATTTTATTAAAAATAATGATGGTAAATAACTGAAGAAAACATACCTATACATATTACTTTCTGCAGGTTTAACTACACTTGTCTGATTGGATTTTACAGGCTAAAAAAGGAGGACAAGATTTTAGTTTCTCATATTTTATATTTAAAAAATACAGCGCATGTAGTGAAAATATTTCAATTTGGAAAAAAGTTTGAATTATACAAAATAAATATGCATCTGGTTAAGAATTTATTAAAATAAGACTGAACACTAATAGTCAATTTTTTTCATTGATCAAGCAAACAAATTATATAACATGACTGAAAAAGGATTTGTCAATAGAAAATTAATTATATATTTACCAACACAGCTTTCTGCATGGGATTCAAGTATAATGATACATTAAATACATTTATAGTTTTACTTCCTTAGTATTTTATGCTGAGAAATAATGAAGATAAAAGTTCCAAAGCATACAACAAAAATTTAAATTGATAACTAATTTATATGATTTTTCACCACTATTTACAAATATTATTTATATAAACTTTCTCCCTAATACTTCCATTTGCTCTAGAATAAATTCAATTGCTGCAGTTTTTGAGTGGCATTACACAAAATATAACAAGATAGAAAATACTCAAAAATTTTAAGTGCCGTTTATCTGTTTAAAAGGAAATAAAAGTTAAAAATAAAAGAAAACTTACTAATGTATTTTCACCATGCAGCAGCTTTTGAACAAATGATGAATCACTATTAAAAGAGCTATTCTGAGCACAATCTTCTAACATTTCAAATACAGCAAGTTCTTGGTTTTCCTAAGATGAGTAAAATGCACTGTAACTAAAATACTACAAAACGCTTATCGTTTGACTTCTAAATTAATACTATAAAGTACTTGTTTTTAATGCAAACATATTATTATATAATAAAATACAACCATTATCATATAAATAAGCAACCAACTGCATTGTAAATCATGTATATTAAAAAAAAAAAAAAAAAAAAAAAAAGGGGGGGGGGGAGGGGAAAAAAAAAAAAAGAAGAAGAAGACTTAAAAAGAGTTGGTGTAAATTAACATACCAAAAATGAAACAATCATTTTTTTATTAAACAGCAATTCAGAAATTAAATTTAAAATTCTGCAAAGAATAGAACAATGATGACCGCATTTACTAGGCACTTTGCAGAATTTTTTTGCTCCTGATAGAGAGGGACATACACCTGTTCACCTTAAATTAAAAGTTTCTATTAAAATTACAACAAACACAAGGTTGGTCTTATGTTTTATTACAAACACAATGGTTGGTCTTATGTTACAACAAACACAAGGTTGGTCTTATGCTTGATTTTAAGTTTTCCCTTCTCATGTTTCTCATTTCTCTTGATTAGGAATTAAAGTTATATTTTTTGATTTAAAAACAAACTTCTACGTAAACTTAAAATATTTTTGTATTCACAGCTGCCACTGTGAAAAAAACTGCTATGCCCACATTAAGCAGCATTGGGGGGGGGCAACATCTAGCAGCAAATACACAGAAATAATAAAATATTTTAGAGAAAAATATAACAAAATTACAGTTATTTCTTGCATAGATTTGCTAGGTGAAACTCAAGGTGATGCTAAGTGGCAGGTAGTATTTTTTCAACAAAAAAGTATTTTACTCGATAATAATGCAAAAATTGACCATGAAATGCATCTACATATCAGTGATTTAAGAATTTGGGGATACAATATTCAAAAATACAGGAAGAAAGGCATTCATGTTGGAAACTAGTCCTGAGGTTCTTGTTACCATTGCTATGAACTGTGGTGTATTTACTTTTGTAGAGCATGCATCCATTAAATGGTATAAAAAAGAATTAAAACCATAAGAAATAACAGTACTTATATATTATTACATTGACTATCAAAGTTGGCGAAGATCTTGCCAAAGTTACGTCAATCGTTGCTAAGGAATTCTGAAGGAACTAATGGCAACCAGTATTCAATTTGCTTCATTTCTGTCATAAAAAAAAAAACTTTCATTGATTTCTTCTATTCTGTCAAGGTCTCCAATTTTACTGAAAGCTCAGTTTCGAATGCTAGGAGTACAAATTTCTTGTAGGTAATTTTTCCTGTCCCTTACTATTTTGTCAGTCATATTCAGCTGACTATATCATGTCCATCAATACAATTTTATTTTTCTAACGAAGGATCACATAACTTTGAACATAATCTATTCCTTATCATTCTCTAGAAGGCAGGACCAAAATTTAATCATTTTGTTCAAAATGCAAGTGCTGTTACATCATGCTTATCCATAATTGGCATTAAGTAGCTTGGTGACAGTTTTATGGTCAACAGCATAATATTTAGAAACTGAAAATAGTGCTGAATAAAATAGTTATGTTGCCAGGGCAAAGTGTTAAATAAGGTTCCCCCCCTTTTCAGCAGCCTGACAGTTAATCATGGAGGTAGTAATTTGCTTTCACAATGATAATTGTACACACGTATATGACTTTAAATTAAGGCCAACCTAAAGGATGATGACTTAAAAATTAAAAATTAAGTACAAAATAATTATTCACATGCTCCAAAAATATTAGAATGGAATTCCCAGTAACATCTAAACATAATATACTGGCAAATAATATGTATTGATAAGCAGTTTAATAGCATATACGGAAATCTGGCATTTGCCCTACTGGCATATTCTACACTGGATTTTGTGCACGATTAATTGAGTTCCTAGTTTAGTTCTCAAACTAACGACTAATCCAACTTTATTTGAAAAAAGAGAAAATAATTAGTCATTTATATAAACAAAGCCCTCAACTAATAACTACACATTAGCATGCTAACAAATACAGTCAAAAGTCTTTAATCCGGACTCGTCGGCACTTCGGCGATTCCGGATTATCGATCATCAGTTTAAATCTGGTGAGATGGCATGCAGAAATTATAAAATTAAAAATATGAAACTGTAATTTATAAAATAAAGAGCAATTATGATCTAAAGGGTATCAACATTTACAAAAAAAAAAAAAGCTTAATATTTATTTATTTACTTTATTAAACATTTCTTTCAATGCCCGCATGCGTAAAGCATACATTACGCATAGTCGAAATTAGAAAATTGCAACCAGAAAACTATTTGTTGTGTATTCGTGATATTTATAATGACGAGGAATTTGATTTAAATCATATCAAAGACGGAATACATCGAGATGAAATACTACATTTAGTAAGGAATTATAAGCCAAATAAAATAAAAACATCTGTCCTGAAGATAAGGATAGTGCTGACAGATCAACTTCCAGTTCATTGCGCGCCGCGACGTCCCCCCCCCCATCCACAGAGCAGCGTGAAATTGATAAACAGATTTCGGAATGGTTAGAGAAACAAAGGATATGCCTTTATCCATTTTTTGCAGCAATTCCACTTTTTGTTTGATGGACATCGAAACATACTTTCGCTTTGGCAGCTCCAGCATCGGAAATTCTATTTGATATAATCGAAAGTTCAAGCTTACTTTTATAAAATTGCCCTAACAGTCTGCAAAAAATAATAAGCCGGATCCAATTCGAAGATTAAGGAACAACGCAATCATCAACATTAACTGAAATAGATAATTAGATAATTTTAGCTTAGCTACCATCCATTATACATTAAATGTGCATGCGTGAACGCATTATCCGTTGATGCATGCGCAGAAAGTTTGTAGCTTTGAGGTCTGGATTATAGATCATTCCGGATTATGGGTGTTCGGATTAATGACTTTTGACTGTAATGTCTGTTGAAATCAGTTTAATGAGATATATTAAACTCTGTTTGTGGCAGATCTAACACACATCTATAAATGTTTTCCTGCAATTTCCTATAAAGTTAGGTTTTGCAATCTTAGGTAATCACTTTATTACAGACAGTTCAAATGACATCAGTCCTGCAATACTCTGAGCTAATTTTCCATATAATATATTAAACAGCTTTTCGAAGAAAAAAATGCATTTTGATTCCAAAACATGTATTTTTACTTTTGTACTTTTTAGAATCTAAAATTTTCTTTTTTTTTCTATCTTTACTTGATAGAATTTAATAGAGCATGCTATTATCTATATAAACAAAAATACAGAAATAATGTAAAAATTAGGATAAATAATATAGCAAACTGTCAGTAGCAGGCTAGGTGAGGGTAAGTGATAACAGCAAAGCATGCAAGTATTTAAGTAGTTAAAATTAGTCACATATTATTATAACAAAAAAATACAATAAAGCATCCAATTACTTACCTGATTTAAACTTTCTTCCCCGCTGCTACTTTTATTTTCTTGTACATCACTGCTATTAGCCTCAAGGACAGCTGAATCTGAATTAGACTTCACAGATTCTGTAACAGATGCTTTGCTTTCTTCAGATTTATAGTTTGATGATTTAACAGATAACTTTTCATAATCATTTTGAATAATTGGGTCTTGAAATCGGATATGTTTCACCTTCTCATTCGGAAATGCAGATTTTTGAGGTGGAGGTTTCAACTTTAAAACTGGTTTAAATGGGACAGAAATGGCACCTTTCTAAAAAAAAAATATTTATGATTTAATACTGTAAATATCTTACATTTCAGTATGAACAACAAAAGAGTTTTATGAAAGAATAAATATCTTTAAGAATGACAATATTTCTAAGATTTTCCTTGATCCATGGACGAAATATTATTATTTTTTTTTTGCAGGTCTTAAAAAAAAGGAAAAAAAGAAGGCAACAGTTTTTTTCCATATCCTATTCTCAAATTTTATCCCACTTTTATAATGACAGTAAACCCTCTCATATGATCACCTCGGAAAATTACTACTATTTCTAAGATCATAGCTAAACATTGGTATTGAACACAGTCTTTCTTAACCTTTATCTTCATAGAAGTCCAAAACTATATGGAATCATGGATCTTGCAGAAAAATCATCATATTTGATTATTCCTGAAGTTCTAATGACATGTGATATCTTTTAAAAATTATAATTTAGCTCTATAAATTATATTAAAATTATAATTTATAGAGCTTCTATAAATTATATTAAAATTATAATTTATAGAGCTGTGTCCTGTGTATTTCATTAAAAATTTTACACTGCTTTTTGTATTTTTTATAAAATGGCTACTCTTCAAACAGTCAAAAGTTACATATATATATAACTCTATTAATATTAATGATAATAATAAAATAAATCAAATGCCATTTCAACTGTATTTAAACATGGGAAAGAATGACATACCAGATGAAAAAGAATATGAAGTTTTAGCTGTAATTAAATGAAAGGTTTGTCTTTGACTCAGTTGCATCCGAAAAAAGGCAACAGAGTTCAGATGCTGAGAAATACTTTTGCTAAAATAAAGCCAACACCAAATGGCGCTGCTTTAATTGTTTCAACTTATAAAATAAAAGTTATTTTATTCCCAATTACCCCCAAATGCTATTATTTTTACATGATAATCTCTTTTACTATTTCATCCAAAGGATTTCAAATCATCTTGATAATAATTCTTGTAAAATTTTCAAATTTCTTTTCTTCCCCTCCTCCCTACTGTTGCTTGCAGAAAAATATATATGACCTTAACGAATCCAAATAATATAATTTCACGGGTTCAACTAGCAATTAATAATAATTGAAACAAATCTGCTTTTAAATCACTTAGTTTGTCAATAACGGAATAAATTTGAAAGCAATATTGAATATCTTATGCTTTGCTGGATAACAACACACTGCCGCATGGAAAACAAAAAAAAATTTAATTCGGGCAGCATTTAATTCAGGCAATACATTTCTTTTAAATCACTGAATTTCTTGGTTTAATTCAAAAGACTGAGTGGCAATCACTGAGTTGCTTGTTTAAATTCGAATACTGTATTTTGCCAAATGTCCACACAATTCTTTTATGTGGCAAAGTTTCCTGATTAAATTTGAAATATAAATATGAGTGGCAACACAATGCTTTGTTGTGTGATGCAATACAAAGCTTTTATATTGCCGAGTTTTTTTAATTTGTACAAAATATGAAACAAATGAAAAGCAAATTCAAAATTTGTCGAGTGCAAGACTAATTGTGTTCAAAATTTTGTGGTTCTAAGTATCATTGTTTTTCTACAATTCAATTTAATTCAAAAGATAAATACAGTCAAATGTCTTTAATCCGGACTCATCGGGACTTTGACGATTCGGGATTATCGATTTTTCCCGATTATAGATCATCAGTTTAAATCTGCTAAGATGGCATGCAGAAATTATAAAATTAAAAATATGAAACCATAATTTATAAAATAAAGAACAATTATGATTTAAGGGTATCAAAATTTACAAAAAAAGCTTAATATTTATTTGTTTACTTTATTAAACATTTCTTTCAATGTAAGTTTTTTAAGTTGCTTCGTTTCATGTGATAATACTTTCTCTTTAATTCTATAAACAGACATAATTTCTTCTTCAGTTACAAAGTTCCGCTGTTGAAGTCCTATAATTGCTGCGTCGAGAATACTGACTAATTTGTCAATCGAAAATTTTTTGCTTTCAATAACCTCTGTGTCACTTTCTTCACTATCGGAAGCGTATTATAATGATTTGGAATTTGATTTAAATCATATCAAAGACAGAGTACATCGAGATGAAATACTACATTTAGTAAGGAATTATAAGCCAAATAAAATAAAAACATCTGCCCTGAAGATAAGGATAGTGCTGACAGATCAACTTCCAATTCATTGCGCGCCGCGGCGTTCCCCCCCCCCCCCCCCTGCAGAGCAGCGTGAAATTGATAAACAGATTTCGGAATGGTTAGAGAAACAAAGGATATGCCTTTATCCATTTTTTGCAGCAACTCCACTTTTTGTTTAATGGACTTCGAAACATACTTTCACTTTGTAGATCCTTTACATATTAGTAAATATATATCGGAAATTCTATTTGACATAATCGAAAGTTCAAGCTTACTTTTATAAAATTGCTTTAACAGTCTGCAAAAAATAATAAGCCGGATCCAATTCGAAGATTAAGGAATAACGCAATCTGCAACATTAACTGAATTAGATAATTTTAGCTTAGCTTATACCGTCTATTATACATTAAACGTGCATGCGTAAACGTATTACGCGCATGGGTCAACGCGAGACATGCACAGAAAGTTTGTAGCTTTGAGGTCCGGATTATAGAGCATTCCGGATTATGGGTGTCCGAATTTAGAACTTTTGACTGTATAAAACTGAATTGGGTTCTAAATTAAATCAGTCAACATGAATTTCAGTTTTCCATAATGTAAACCAAATATGTTTTGCACAAAGACGTTATGAAAATTACTGCATTTTAAATTTTGTTATATAATTGAAAGTTCCTTATGATCATTACGTTTTGATGTTGACAATGACTTTTCAAATATTCGATTAGAATGTCAAGTATGGGTATGAAACAGGTGTTGGAGATGAACAGCTAGCGGCAACAGAATGATTAACGAACGATAAACAGACATAATTTCTTGTTCAGTTACAAAGTTCCGCTGTTCAAGTCCTGTAATTGCTGTGTCGAGAATACCGACTAATTTGTCAATCCAAATTTTTTCGTTTTCAATAACCTCTGTGTCACTTTCTTCCCTATCGGAAGCGAATTATAATGATGAGGAATTTGATTTAAATCATATCAAAAAAGGAGTACATTGAGATAAAATATTACATTTAGTAAGGAATTATAAGCCAAATAAAATAAAAACATCTGCCCTGAAGATAAGGATAGTGCTGACAGATCAACTTCCAGTTAATTGCGCGCCGCGACGTCCTCCCCCGGCCGCAGAGCAGCGTGAAATTGATAAACAAATTTCGGAATGGTTAGAGAAACAAAGGATATGCCTTTATCCATTTTTTGCAGCAATTCCACTTTTTGTTTGATGGACATCGAAACATACTTTCGCTTTGTAGATCCTTTGGCAGCTCCAGCATTGGAAATTCTATTTGACATAATCGAAAGTTCAAGCTTACTTTTATACATTAAACGCCAATGCAAAATGTATTATGTGCATGTGCACACACCTATGCGCATGCGTGAACGCATTATGCGTTGACGCATGCGCAGAAAGTTTGTAGCTTTGAGGTCTGTATTATAGATCATTCCCAATTACGGGTGTCCGTATTAAGGGCTTTTGACTGTATATTGCATTTTGCTGAATGGCAACACACTTCTTCACTTCTATTATGTTGCCGAGTTTTCTTATTAAATTTGAAACAAAAATAATCCTATACTTTACAGAGTGGCAACACAAAGCTTTTATTATCATTAAATTTCAAATCAAAAGTTCCTTACATCCGTAAAAAACATACAATAAAAAAAGCTCAAAGGAGCATTTTTTTAACGTTTTGTGTGTTACCTTTATTTATTAAGTATCATGTTCTTCGCACTTAAACCATAAAATTCAATTCAGAAATAATATCACAAAATATTTAAAAGAGCACAGCTTTAGAATTTCCAATACACAGTCGCACGAGCTGGTAAAAAATAATTCCCCCCGTACAGTATTGCCATTGTTTGCTTTGAAACTGTTGAATGTCTTAATCAAAAATTCATATACACTTTCATACAAAATATGAAATAGATAATAAAAAAAATTCCAAATTTGAGATTCCAGATGCCCATAATTCGGATGGAAACGTATGTTATTCAAAATTGGATGGCTCTAGGTACCATTGTTTTATTACATTGCGAGAAACATACATACATTTATGCAGATTCTTCATCATTTAATTTCTTTAAATATAACACAGGGCTCTAATATTTGGTGGTAACAATTTAAATAGTGATTTACCGTTTATAGTGAATCAACACAGAATGTCAAAATGAAATTAATAGCCCTTCTGGGCAAATTGCCCCTTTGGGCTAATAAATAAAAAGTAAATTTGAAATACAAAATTCTGGCTTCAAGGCTCACATGTTCAGGTGAGAGATTAGGAAAGAAATTAAAAATGTGGTGGATATTATATGGAGTCTTTTTCCATACAGTACATATATAATATATACAAATTCTTCATTATTTAATAATAAAGATAACTCATTAGGATTCCTTTATCTGAAAAATTTATTACAAAAATCTTTGATTACATGTGAGTGGTAGAATTTATATGAAACAGCATGATTTAATGTTGTACGGTGGAAATATCTGTAAATGCCAGTGATTTTGAATTTAACATGATAAACTGCATTGGCAGAACAAAGACTGTTTTTATGCTTGATACTTGAAATACACTTTTAGATGATCAACAGCACTATAATAATCAATTAAAATTTAAAAAAAAAGTCTTTTACAAAAAGTAAGCAAAATTTTTTACCTCCGGAATAGAAGGTTTATATTTTACAGTTGATTCTTTATCCTTTACAGATTTAGGCATGTACCTTAGCAAGCCTGAACCTTTCTTCAGGTAAGGACGCTTAGGCTTTGAAGCAGTATTCTTTTCACTGGATTCAGCCTTAAAAAAATTATACAATACACAGTGAATAAATAAGTACAAATATGGCATAACTAGATGTAGGCAAATGGAGGGGTCTGCTACGAGTGGTATTTTTCACATCAGACAAGATTTTATTCTTGGTCAATCCATTATTTATATTTACTTAATAATTTGCATTCTTTACTTCATAATACATTTTGAAACACATATTTACAAATGAAAGAAAAAAGCACAACTAATGAATTCATTACTTTTTCCAAATATATTACAATTAAAATTTCAATACTAACGTAATAGGCTAGGCAATTGCTTTAAAGTTTACACTGCAATAGCTGCATCTCAAAAGCACATTGCAAAATCAGTACAGACTGCCCAGAAGTACCAATTTCATCCTTTTAAAATGATGACTCAAGATTTATTTATTTAAAATATTACAAATTTACCTATAATAGGTTATTATCAAGACCACTGAAAGAATATTTATTGTATTGCTTATGCACATATGTTACATGCACAGCCATTTTAGTAAATAGTCAACATTTGAAACACTTTCTCCAATTAAAGGAATTTCAAATGAATTTTTAATTATTTAAATAAAATAAAAAATAAAAAAGAAAATCTGAAAGGTTTCAGATTTTAAATTACATCCAATTTTTTAACATTTTGTGCATTACCTTTATTTATTAAATATCATGTCTTTGCACTTAAACCATAAAATTCAGTTCAACAACAATATCGCAAAATAATTTTTAATCGAGCATATCTTTAGAATTTCCGATACACGGTCTCATGCGCTGGAGATAAAAATGATTTTCTGTATAACGTTGCCATTGCTTGCTTTGAAATCCTCAAGTTACTTAATCAAAAATTCGTTAAAGTTTTACAAAATATGAAATCCATAAAAAAAACAAATTCCAAATTTCAAATTTGGGCTTCCATGCCCATATTTGCAGTAGGATTACAATTCAAAATTGGATGGCTCTAGGTACCGTTGCTTTATCACAATGTGAGAAACATACATACACGTATGCAGATTCTTCATTATTTAATTTCTTCAAATATATTACAGGGCGATGATATTTGATGGCAATAGATTGAAAAGTGAAACGGACATTCAGAATGATTCAACGCTAAATGAAAACAACAGTCCCTCAGCGGCAAAGCCCCTTTGGACTAAAAAATGTTTATTGCACATAGCTGAAATTTAATATTTTAAAACTAACTATGTCCATTTTGAACTGAATGCATTCTGCTTTTAGAGCTTCCAAATTAAAGAAGCAGGCTTATTGTAACTTATGACATTCTCTTTTGCAACTGATCACTTTTTATCATATTCACATTACACATGGAGAAAATCAAGAAAATCATGCATGCAACAAGCTCATTAATATAGGTTTAAACTACTAGAATTCAGCAATCTTAATTATTCAGTCACTGTTGCAGCCAATGCCATACAGAAAGTTTTATGTTAAAGCACTTTAGAGGAGATAAGACAGGTTTTATATATATATATATATATATATATACAGCACATATACTTGCTTTTAATTTTCTGAAAAACAAGAAAACAAGTAGTGGAAAAACATATTGCATTTGTTACAGTCAACAAGAAAAGTAAATCCTTTCTGAAATGCAAGTATTCCATGAAAGCATACTTATGCAGAAACCATAATTTAGGCTTAGGTTTCTATTGCATATATATGTATATGTGTTCAGTACTAGCAAAATAATGCAGTATTTGTGCATATTTAGCTTAGAGCTTTTTATGAGCATCCATATCTAACTCATATATGTGGATGCAATTTGTGCACAGCTTGAGAAATTAATCATAAAAAAATAATAATTTAGTTTCCAAATGCTTCAGAACAAGATAGGGGGAAACCCTTGATTATTTATTTATTTATTTATGAACCTTTAATTTTTTTCTATTACAAATGAAGAAATTTGAATTTAGAAATTCAACATTCATAACATTTCTGTGGAATTGTATTTTAAAGACAGTCATATAATACAACTTACAATCCATTCTATGTTTCTTTTTATTATGGCTGATTTAAATATAACGTATTTAAGATTAAAATAATGATATACATATATCTTGTATGACATTCATATTTCCTTTATATAGTCACAACATTTTTGTCTTCATTCACAGTCTTATAATTATTGCAAATCTGCTTTAGATATATAGAGTCGTACAATTAGATTAAACTATCTAATAAAATGGAATTTAAGAATTTCAAACTATAACATTGAAAAGACATTTTGATTATTTTAATTATGAATACCTGTTCCGTCTTTTTAGTAGATAGGTGGCGCTCTTGATGCGCGCCGATGAAAAATATTCCACTTGACGCTTGAACATGAACAATGACGCATGTCATATTTATTTGATGCTTGATTATGTTTCATGGCCGCTATAGGTGGAAGTAATATAAGTAATATAAGTTTATCGTTAATAAATGTTATTTCTATGTTCTGTGAACTCTTGAAGTTTTGCTTTGAAATTCTAATGCTCTCCCAACCTTGACTCCTGAAACGAAACGATCTTTGAATTTATGACTCATGAAGAGAGACACCATACACATTTTTTCTGGTGTCTGAAACCCGCGACAAGGGGAATTACCTTTTGAAAGGTAAGAATTTTGATTCATTTGTTCTTGGTATCGATCTTTGAAAACGAAACATAATGGATGATTTAGCAAAAGAGAAAAAGAAACGTGCTATTGTACGTAGTAAAGTTACTACACTTCTAAATAAACTTGAGAAATTATTATCGGAAGAATTAAGTAAAGAACATCTAGAAGATTTAAATTCATCATATGAATTGTTAATTGAATACCATGAGAAACTTAAAACTCTTGACTCAAAGATCGATGCTCTCATAATTGATGAAAAAGAATATGATAACGAACTACTTGTATGTGAAGAGTATGATGAAAAAAAAATTATAACGTTTAAAGCTAAGATTGTTAGTAAAGTAAAGAAAATTAACAGTAATGAAGTTGTTGAAAGAAGTATAATTACAACTAGTAATGGTATTAGTAGTACTCTGAATGGTAATAATGTTGTTACAAGTAGTGCTTCAGTAAAGTTACCTAAATTAAATATTGAAAAATTTGCTGGTGATCCCAGTAAATGGCTCGAATTCTTTAATTCGTATGATAATGCTATTCATTCTAATCCAAGTTTATCTAAAATAGATAAGTTTACATATTTGAAAAGTTTATTATCTGGTTCAGCATATAATTGTGTTTCTGGTTATGCTTTATCTGAAGAAAATTATGATCTATGCATTAAAAGTTTAGAAGAGAGGTTTGGTCGTAAAGATGTTATTATATCAAAATTCATGCAGATGTTGTTACAGTTAGAACCAGTTAAAAGTTCTTCAAATGTTTTTGAGTTAAGAAAGCTCTATGATCAGTTACAAATCTGCGTTAGAAATTTAAGTAGTTTAGATGTTACTAGCGGTTCATACGGACAGTTATTGAACCCAATAATTCTTAAATTGTTACCTGAAGATTTAGCTCTTGAATTCCATAGAAAAAGAACATCTAACCAAAATATAGAAGTAAGTGAATTAATAGAGTTCATTAAAATAGAAACTGAATGCCGAGAAGCAAGTATTTTGATTAATAGCTCAAAAGGTAATAAATACACAGGGGTTAATCCTAAACAAGGGTTAAAAAATTATAAAGTCAAATCACAAGCTTCTGCTTTTAACACATCGGTAAAAATGTTTTGCATATTCTGCAAATCAAACGAACATACATCTGCCGGATGTTTGAAATTTTCCGACGAACAAAAACGAAAGAAATTGAAAACATGAAGGTCGCTGTTACAGATGCTTTCTAAACATTTGTCGGTCGTTTTGTCATTCAAAAATACAACCATGCGAAAATTGTAACGACAAAAATCATAATAAACTTTTCTGCCGTTTGAAATCGAAAGAAATGGAAGATGTTAACTCCGCAGATACGCAAAATAAAACTTTAGTATCTACTTCCCACTGTAACACTCTAAAACCTGAAAATAGTGTGCTTTTACAGACATGTTCTGTTATTGCTCAAAGCAAAAATAAATCGAGAATCGTAAGATTATTAATTGATTCAGGTAGTGAACGAAACTTCATCACCCACAAGTTAGCGCGCGATTTAGAATTGCAAGTCATTAGAAAAGAATTTCTAACAATTTATTCGTTTGGAAATCAGCGCGGTAACTCGCAAGAATTTGATGTATATAGTCTAAAAATAAAAAATAAAAACGATGATCGCTGCCTTGTTGTAGAAGCTATAGGGATAGAATTAATATCATCAATCAATAAATTCCAGGCGCCATCAACATGTCAAAACATTAAAGAATTTATGACTAAAAAGGGCTTGGAACTTTCGGATACAAGTCCCGTTAATGAGAACATAAATATTCTGCTTGGCGCGGAGCATTTCTGGTATATACAAACAGGAAGTAATTCAATGATAAATGATGGTTTGTTTATAGTACCGACCATATTTGGATACACAGTGATGGGTAAAGTAAAAAATAATAATACTCGAATTAATGCGTTGTTTTTATCTGCCGTTGAAGGAAACACATTTGATTTGCAGTCATTTTGGAAATTGGATTCGATAGGAATTGAAAATGAAAACAAAACATTTTCGGAAACTGATTTGGATACTATTAAGCATTTTAACGACAGTTTAAAATTTAATAACGGCAGGTACGAAACAAAACTCTTTTGGAAGGACAATAAATCACAACTCGCTGATAATTTTTTCGTTGCTAAACAACGATTTCTAGGACTTAAAGCATAAATTAAAGGGAAATGATTTCCTATATAATGAATATGATAATATAATTAGAGAACAAGTTGAAAGGGGGATTGTTGAACAATGTAAGTTTGTTGAAAATGAACCTAACTGTTATTATATGCCTCATAGGCCCGTTATACGTGAAGGAAAAGTAACAACAAGAATAAGAATAGTTTATGATGCCTCTTCTAAGTCTGAAGGAGCTAAATCGTTAAATGAATGTTTGATATCAGGCCCTAATTTAAATCCTAACTTGTTGGATATAATTTTAAAATTTCGCGTACATAAAGTTGCATTTTGTGCAGACATAGAGAAGGCTTTTCACCAAATTCAAATTGATAGTGAAGATAGAAATTTTTTAAGGTTCTTGTGGTTTGATCATTCTTACGACAATAGTGACAATAGTTTAGGCTTTAAGGTTTTCCGAATGTGCCGAGTGCCGTTTGGAATGACAACAAGTCCGTTTATTTTGTCCGCCACTATCAAACATCATATTAAGGGTTATGAAAAGAAATATAGCAAAGCTGTTGACATGTTAAATAAGTCCTTATATGTTGATGACCTTATCCATGGAGCAGACTCCGTTGAAGAAGTTTTCTCATTATCAACTGATGCAGTTAAAATTCTTCAAGACGCTGGTATGAACTTAAGAAAATTTGAATCAAATTCCGTATCTTTAAAAAATCATTGGCAAGATATTGGTTTAATTAATAAGGAAGATAATTTGGATAAGAAAACGTTAAAGGTGCTGGGAATAATTTGGGATTTGGATGAGGACACATTGAAATTAGATGTACAAGAACTTTTACAACCAGTTGACTGGAAACACGTTACAAAGCGAAAGGTATTACAGATTGTGGCAAAAATTTATGACCCAGTTGGATTCATTGCACCCTTTGTTATCAGAATAAAATTCTTATTACAAGAGTTATGGGAATTGGGTATTGATTGGGACACAATTTTGCCCAGTTATTTGAGTGAAAAATTTAAAACTTGGTACTTTGAAATTGAAGTTATTCTCAACTTGTGTATTCCTAGAAAATACATATTAAATGATGAATGTGTAAATTTCGATAAAATAGAGCTTTTTGTCTTTTGTGACGCCAGCCTCAAGGGATATGGAGCTGTTGCATATTTTCGTGATCCTGATTCTTGCTGTACGTCTTTTGTTCTTTCAAAGAGCCGTGTATCCCCACTTAAAAAATTAACCTTGCCTCGTTTAGAACTTATGGGAGCCATTATTGCCGCAAGAATAGTTAAATATTTAAGGAAATTATTTAATATCCAAGAAGATAATGTATTTTGTTTTAGTGACTCTAAAATTGTTCTTCACTGGATCAGGGGTACCGCTGATAAATGGAAACCCTTTGTTGCTAATCGTGTACGTGAAATACAAGATGTTGTATCACCTTCGCAATGGAAATACTGTAAGGGAAATGACAATCCGGCTGACATAGTTTCACGTGGATTAAGAGCTTCTGATCTAGTGGAAAATAAACTTTGGTTCAATGGACCAGTGTGGTTAAAAGAGAAAAATGTACCTTCATCATCTTTTGATCCTTTGATCGAGCCTATGGTGGAAGAGGTACAGGTAGAACAGCGTCAAACTACTGTATGTTCTGTTATTAGCCAAGAGGCTGAATTTGAATTGACATCCAGGTTTTCATCCTGGAAAAAATTGAAACGCGTAACTGCATGGTGTTTAAGATTCTGCCACAATATTAAACCTACATCTTTAAAACTCAAGGGTTTTTTTAACAGTTCAAGAATTGGATAAGGCAAGCAATTTGATTTTTAAAATCATGCAAAATTCCGAATTTAGAGAAGAAATTAGACTTTTGAAAGCAGGGAAGAAATTGAATCTCAGCAGTAAAATCCTGAAATTAAATCCTTTTCTTGATAGAGAAGAAATCCTTAGAGTCGGTGGTAGACTCTGTAACTCGAATCTTTCAGAAAACACAAAGTATCCAATCATTCTTCCCAAAAGTCACCAAGTTACTGAATTGATAGTCAAACACTTTCACGAAGTGAACCTTCACGGAGGAGCCACATTAACATTATCTGCTCTGCGACAGAAATATTGGATCGTTAATGGCCGAGAAATTGTAAGAAAAAATAATTTGGAAATGTATAAAATGTTTTAAAAATCGAACAAGCACATCCAGTCAGATAATGGGCGACCTACCTGCTTCTCGCGTATTGCCGGATAGAACATTCTCGAATACAGGACTAGATTTTGCAGGCCCCTTTTTAATTAAAGCTAGGAAAGGAAGAGGAGGAACGAGATATAAATGTTACGTTTGCCTTTACATATGCTTCACCACAAAGGCCATTCACCTAGAAGTAGTCAGTGATCTAACAACTGAAGCATTCCTAGCATCTCTGAAAAGATTTGTGTCACGCAGAGGAAAACCCAAGAAAATCTTTTCCGATAGAGGAACCAACTTTGTTGGGGCTGATCGAGAATTAAGAAGATACATAGCTACACTTTCCTCTGACGAAGCATTTCAAAACTACCTGAGCGGTGAAAATATTCAATGGATCTTCAATCCTCCTGCTGCCCCTCACTTTGGAGGCCTTTGGGAGGCTGGAGTGAAACAAATGAAGATTCACTTAAAGCGGACTATTGGGACCCAGGTTCTGACATACGAAGAATTTCACACCTTAATTACACAGATCGAGGCGTGTTTGAATTCCAAGGCCAATAGTTTCCATCTCATCTGACCCTGAAGATTTTAATCCTTTAACACCTGGACATTTCCTAATTGGGACTACATTAACAGCAATTCCTGAACCTGATCTTACAAATAATAAGCTAACCCCTGCTGAAAGATGGAAATTGACACAGCAAATTTTCCAGAGCTTTTGGAAACGTTGGTCTAGAGATTATCTTTCACAATTACAAGGGCGTACCAAATGGTTGAGGGATAAACCAAATTTAGCCCTCAATGACTTAGTCTTGATAAAGGACGAAAATTTGCCTCCATTAAAGTGGCGACTTGGACGAGTAATTGAACTATATCCTGGTGCTGATGGAAAAGTTCGTGTTGTGAAACTAAAAACTTTATTGGGCGAAATGAAGCGTCCTATACATAAACTTTCCCGCTTACCATTGAGTGAATAAGACTCTAAAAAAAAAAAAAACCATTAATTGTATATTCATAATTTTTGTGTCTTTATTATTATTATTAATTCAATTATGTTTCAGATTCAGAGAATGGACCACAATTGTGGATTATGGTAATTTAGCAGTTTCATTATTTTGTTTTCCTTCTAGAGATTGTAAGTATGTTTTATTTGTAAAATTTTGTGCTAAATTTAATGTTGTTATTCAATTTAAATTTGTCATTATGCATTTTTATTTTATATGATATACTGTTGAACTTTGGAAAACTTGTTTGAATCTAAAATTGAAGATCTTTATAATAATGTTGTAATGAACCAATGTTCATCGGGGCGGAGTATGTTCCGTCTTTTTGGTAGATAGGTGGCGCTCTTGATGCGCGCCGATGAAAAATATTCCACTTGACGCTTGAACATGAAGAATGACGCATGTCATATTTATTTGATGCTTGATTATGTTTCATGGCCGCTATAGGCGGAAGTAATATAAGTAATATAAGTTTATCGTTAATAAATGTTATTTCTATGTTCCGTGAACTCTTGAAATTTTGATTTGAAATTCTAATGCTCTCCCAACCTTGACTCCTGAAACGAAACGATCTTTGAATTTATGACTCATGAAGAGAGACACACATACAATACCATTTCATCAGTTTTTCTTGCTTTTTTCTGTTCCAGTAGATCAATGTAAGACTGGATTCCAGCTATTAAAATAAATAAGTGAAACTTTCAAGTTATTGCGACTAGTGGTTTGAAAACAATTTCTAATTTAAATACATTTGACAACAGGAAAAAAAAAGGTATTATTTCAAATATCCAAAGCAATAAAATAAAGATTATAATTACAAGATAACCAAAAAAGTTAATGCCATTTCTGATATGACATTGGAAGAGTGAACCCCAACATAAAAATAGTTGGCAAATCTGGCAATGAAGTGTTTATGATGGAAGTCTGGGCATTGACCGAGAGTAAAAAAGTCCATTGCATGGGTACTTCAAACATAATTCGCACAGCGACTGATTGAAATGGACACGCCAAAGGCGCTCGTTCAGAGTTGTTTGCTGCATGATTTTAAAGTGGGCCTGTCAGCAGCAGAATCAAGTCACCAACTTTGCTGGGCCTTTGGGAATGATGCCATTAACGAATGAACTGCAGGGATTGATTCCAGAAGTTCAGGTCAGGGGATATGTCTCTTAGTGATGCACCACGCAGCAGTCAGCCACAAATGCTGGACAATGAGGCCCTGAGAGGGTGACAGTAGACAAACATGTAGTGAGCTTGCTGCACACTTCCAGGTATCTGATGAAACGATCAAACTCTATTGTTATGCATAGGAAAAGCATATAAGTTGAGCAAGTGGGTACTCCACTCTCTGTCCGATGCAAACAAGCAACAGCGTGTCATGGCGTGTTTGTCATTGCTTACTCGGCACCGCAATAAATGCATATTTGATCGAGTACCAACGATGAAAAGTGAATATAGTATGACACATCCAGGCGTTCCAGACATTGGTTGTCACTATGGAACCCTGTGCCTCACACTGCAAGACCTTCCCTCCACCCATGCAAGATCATGTTCTGTATCTGGTGGACTAGTTGCCAAGTGGTGCATTATGAGCTTCTACCAGTGGGTCATACCATCACGGCAAGCCTGTACTTGCAGCAGTTGGAACGTGTGCATCAGACACTATTGCATAAAGAGGTCAATCGTAAGGGTCTACTCCTCCTCCATGACAATGCGAGGCCACATGTGGCTCGGGAGACCATGGACACCATCCAGTGACTGGGCTGGGAAACACTACCCCATCCACCATACTCCCTAGACCTTGCACCAACAAACTATCACCTTTTCCATTCCCTCGAAAAAGCCCTCATGGACTTCTTTGTATGCAAGATTCCTGAGTTTTACTGCGATGGCATCACACAGCTAGCCACTTGTTGGCAAATGGCACTGGATGCTCATGGTGATTACTTTGAGGATTAGCGGTGATTATTATTTGTTTTATGACTTTTTCTTTCTGACTATCCAAAACGGCAAGAACCTTTTTGGTTACCTTGTATATACATTTAAAATTTCTACTGTTTACTGTGTTCCCAGCATATCATATATGATATGGCTCAGTTTCCCTTCATGGTGCACCATATCAAATGTGATACAGGAGCAAAGTGTCACAGATGGCCCACCGCATCATATATAATATGCTGTAAAGGAATGTTTTATTTCAAATTTTAAATGTGCATGAATTATATTAGAATGCTGGTGACTGGTAATGGAGGGCAGCAACACCTGTTGTCTAACATAAATCATGCCCTCTCCCATTGAAACAAACACACCCGAGGGACAATAAGAATGCCACTTTGGGAGTTTATTTATTTTGAGCATAAGTTTTGCATAGCTAATGGTGTTTACATTAGGAACGATGGTACATGTGGTAGAGTGACATCTTTGACTTGCTGATAGAATTATAAAATGTAATATATATATTTACCATAATAAAAATATATTATATAATATAATATAAACATACAAAATGAAAATATACATGTGATGAGATGTAAATAAATAAATAGTAGAGTACATTGCTGCTTTGTCATCATTACATTACTACTCTATATTGTACAGTTGTTAGTTCATGATTTAAAGTTTTTAATGTCAGAACACTGTGAAAATTTACTAAATAGAATCTCTAAAGTATTGGACTTCTTGTGATGAATAAATATTACCTATCATTTTATTCTACGAAAGTTAAATGGAGGACACTAATGATGCACTAATGGAGAACACTAATGTTCATAATTTAAAAACATTTCACACAATGCAAGCAGCTTAAAACTTCAGTATGTAAATACAGCAGTAGGATATTATAAGCACTGATATTTAAATTCTCAATTTTTTTTTACTTCGTTACTATACAGAAATAATTTAAATTTAGGAATATAATCATTATTACTAATAACACTTTTTAAAGAATATATTGCCAAAATTTTCGTCACAGCATTCCTTTTAACTTTAACACTTAGTTTTTACGATTTCATCTTGATTTCCATTTAAAAGAGATGATATGAATTCAAACAACTTAAAATTTGGAGTATTTGAAGACTTAACAGTAAGCTAGAACATGTGATAAAAAAAAATCAATGATCTCATGGTTTTACCATTAGGATTGGCACATAATAATCACACTGTCTTCTGACAGCAACAGATACAACATTCAACACAATAGTAGATGTCTACATTTATAAGTGAAACAGAAGACAGCAGTCATGAGAACTTTTCAAGAAAAAAAAATCCAACTCTTATTCTATGGTTGTTATAAACTACTGAATCTGAAGTAAAAGAATGATTATATTACAAGAGAACAGTGAAGAATGAACAAAAAAAGACTATAATACCAGTAAGTTTTTAAAAATATTTCAGCAAATTCCACGCAAATTTTCTAATTTTTTAATTCAAATGTTTCCAGAAATGAAATTAATCCAGAAAACATAACACATATTGGCTTCATGATATGTTTATCCACATCAGAATGTAACGCATATGCTAGCCAAGATGGTATGGTGAGTGTAGGTTAATCTTTTCATCACCACATGCTTATTAACTCATGGCAGCCTGAAAAATTACTCACACACTGATATCTAAAACATAAAAAAAAAAAAAAAAAAAAAAAAAAAAAAAAAAAATTAATAACTAAATACCAAGATGACTGCAGATCTTTACCCAACTGCACTGGGAAGCTTTCAGTGTGTTTGACAAAGAGAAATTTAACATAAATCTCTTTCCATATGCAAAAAATCTGATGGGGACACCATGTGACTTCCATCTACATCCTATTAAATTATACACATGTTTTGCTGCATTTCTTTTAAACTTATTTCCTCGAATTTCATTATAGTAATTCAGTTCTCACTTCACAACAAAGCAAAGATACATAAAAACTCAAAACATGTTCATTAAAAATAGAAAAATATACAAAAACTTAAAACATCAAATACGAGGGCCATCCAGGAAGTAGATTACGTTTCCGTCTGTGTCCGCTAGGGGCGGGGCTAGCGCGGCCATCTTGGGGTCAGAGCATTGCGCAGCTCAGTCTGCATCTAGCCGTGCTAGTGAGAGGTTCGTGCTGTGCTCCGTTCAGATACCGTGACGGTTTGAAATGTCTGCGTTAATTGAAAATCCCGCGAGCTGCGCTCAGTAATAAGGTTTCTGACTGCAAAAAACTGTAAACCGATAGAAATCTATCGGCAGCTTCGTGAAGTGTATGGGGACAACATTATCACTGAAGGTGGAGTGCGTCAGTGGGTCATAAATCAAATCATTTCAAAATGGCCGAACCAATGTTCACGACGAAGATCGAAGTGGGAGACCCAGCATAGTGACCGCCGAACTTCTCGAAAAAGTCGATGCTAAAGTCCGTGAAAATCGAAATTTCACAATAACGGAACTTTCTTTGAGTTTTCCACAAATTTCGCGAAGTTTGTTGCACGAAATCATCAGCGAAAAGCTTGGTTACCACAAGTTTTGTGCAAGATGGAAGGCAAGAAGAGGTAACGAAGTGGTTGAAGGCGCAGGCGGCCGAATTTTTCGACGAAGGAATTTCCAAGCTCGTACATCGCTACGATAAATGCCTTAATTTGTATGGTGACTATGTAGAAAAGTAGTATTTGAGTGTGGCTTTCATCTGTATATAATAAAATTTGTTTCCTATACTTTGTTTATTTTTTTATTCCAAAACGTAATCTACTTTCTGGATAGCCCTCGTACAATTAAAACAGTTCAATATTTTTTTTTACAATTAAAATTAGAGTTTCTGTGCAAAAACAAGCAATTCGGCCAGCAGGCCAAGAAGGCTGATTTTTCGGTGCACAAAACTGAAAGCTTATTTTTTATCCCAATTGGCAAAAAAATACTGAAGGTGTAGAAACTGACTTTATTCACTATTCTGCTAAGTTTCAAATGTAAACAAATATGGCTACTCTGTTAGGCTTAGTCGCACTTAAACAACTTTTAAATTGTTGATAATTCTACAACTGTTGCATGCAGATTAACTAAAGGCATAAAACCCTAACCTGAACATAAGAACAACATAATTTAATCACTTTAAGAAAAAATGCACAATTTACCAACCAATAAAACTGAGCTCACCGAGCCAAGTAACAGAGTGGGAATATATATTTTTGGTGCAGCCGATTTGAACCAAAGGGGGAGGTGCACAACTACATGTTATAACAGTCCTATATACAAAATTTCAATGTTCTAAGGCTACTCGTTTTTGAGCTATGCGAGACACGTACATATGTATGTACAGACATCACAAAAAATATCTTCTGAAACCATTTTAACCCATTTTATAATCCATTTTGGGAAAAAGAGTCTTTGATTCTGTCCTTTATGTACAGATGTCATTCAAAAGCATCGTTAAGTTGCTTTCAATAGAGATCAAAATGGATATTTTCGTTGAAATATGATACCGGAAATTTTTCGTGATTACAATACTTCCTTTACTTTGTAGAAAAAAATAAAAACAGATTTTGTAAACGATATTCATAGGCTAAAAAGATTATATTTAATGCAAATTGAATTAAAGACTAATAGTTTTATTATATAGATAAGACTTCAGATTATGGGGGAAGTAGGCACAATTATAATAAATAACTAAACTAATACAATTCATGCATAACCTTTGTAGAGCACAGAAGCAAAAAAAAAGAAAAAGTAGCAGATAAATATTTTAATTGCCATCAATTCATGATGCTTTGGAATAGTGTTATAGCATAAGCATTAAGATATGCTAAAATGGGACACCACTTGAAATCCATACTAAGGTTCTAAATACAGAAATATCAGTGACAATGAGGCACACAAAGAAAGTGACAAAGAGGTTGCTGAGAACGAAAAAATTTCGACTAATAATTTTTAAAAGAAATTTTTACTTGGCAACTACAGGATTTGAACAATGGAGATTTGTTATTGAACAGGAAATTATATGAAGTAACTTAAACAACTTACATTGAAATAAATGCTTAATAAAACAAATAAGTATACAGCTTTTTTTTCTGTAAATTTTAATTTCTTTGAGATCATAAATGCTTCATTGTTTCATAAACTATTTCATGTTTTCAATTTTATGATTTCTACATGTCATCTTACTAGATTTAAACAGATAATCTAAAATCCAGAAAAATCTGAAATACAAAATCAATGAAGTCACTGATTTCTGACTTGGTACTGTACTTAGATACCAAATGTCAGGTTGGAATTTCAAATCCTGCATGGGATGCTCTTAAAGCATCTAGGTCATTCAGTGCAGTTCTGTTTGCTCCCAAAGGTGCACCCCAAGGCAAATGTTCTTTGTAACGAGGTCTTAATGATCAATGAGTTAAAATAACTTAAAAATTTATCATTCCATCACTGTGATGGATTCGGCCATTGCATTTTAGGATAAATACCTTATTGGCAAAATGTTAGAAGTAAATTATTTCAACATCCTGATTTAATGCTAAGCAACAAATCAGAATAATGAAATACTTAATAAATATTTTTAGCTATCTTGGCTTGATAACATTAATATCAGATATTCTGCCACACATTTTTGTGCAAGTTCTATGTAAAAATTGAAAGATTATATAGATGCTAGTATTATTCAGCAAACATAATAAAATATTTTTTTCTTTCATTATGATTGATACTGACCATTCCTTTAATAGCACTACAACATATAAAAATGAGTTTAACAGGCAGCATCACTGTACCAACGCTTGAAACCCTATAAGTGAAAAAACTGCAAATTCAGTATCAAAACAAAAAAGAAATACAGTCAAAAGTCGTTAATTTAGACACTCATAATCCGGACCTCAAAGCTGCAAACTTTCTGCGCATGCGTCGCGTTGACGCATGTGTATAGGCGTTTACGTGTGCGTGTAAGACCTTTATGGCTGCGGATATGCGTGTGTGCATGCGCATAAAACGTTTACGTATGCACGTTTAATGTATAATGGACGGTATATGCTAAGCTAAAATTATCTAATTCAGTTAATGTTGCAGATTGCGTTGTTCCTTAATCTTCAAATTGGATCCGGCTTATTATTTTTTGCAGACTGTTAGAGCAATTTTATAAAAGTAAGCTTGAACTTTCGATTATATTAAATTTAATTTCCGATATATATTTGCTAATATGTAAAGGATCTAAAGGGAAAGTATGTTTCGAAATCCGAAATCTGTTTATCAATTTCACGCTGCTCGGCGGGGGGAACGCCGCGGCGCGCATTGAATTGGAAGTTGATCTGTCAGCACTATCCTCATCTTCAGGGCCAATGTTTTTATTTTATTTGGCTTATAATTCCTTACTAAATGTAGTATTTCATCTCGATGTACTTCATCTTTGATATGATGTAAAACAAGTTCCTCGTCATTATAATTCGCTTCCGATAGTGAAGAAAGTGACACAGAGGTTATTGAAAATGAAAAAATTTCGACTGACAAATTAGTCAGTTTTCTCGCAATTATAGGACTTAAAACAGCGGAAATTTGTAACTAAACAAGAAATTATGTCTGATTAATAGAATTAAAGAGAAAGTATTATCACATGAAACGAAGCAACTTACATTGAAGGAAATGTTTAATAAAGTAAACAAATAAATATTAAGCTTTTTCTTTTTGTAAATTTTGATACCCTTTAAATCATAATTGTTCTTTATTTCATAAATTACGGTTTCATATTTTTAATTTTGAAATTTCTGCATACCATCTTACCAGATTTAAACTGATGATCTAAAAAATGGAAAAATCGATAATCCAGAATCGTCGAAGTCCCAACGAGTCCGGATTAACGACTTTTGACTGTATTTATTAAGTTTTATTACTTAATCATCCGAGTGGTATAGATTTGCTCATGAAAATCTGCATTTAAACAGCATTTATTAGGTAAACTGCTTAATTACTTACTTTAATCTTTGCTTTATAAGCTTTCATTTATTAAGATATTACATCATTAAAGAAAGTAAAATATTTTAAAATTATAAACTAACTTATTCAGGTATAAAAAAAAATCTCCTGACCGGATAAAGGTGGCCGTGCCGCTTAGAAGGTTAAACAAATTAAGCATGATCTTAACATGGAGCACTTACCAGGAGCAGTACTCCTTGCTTGATGGACACCAACCTGCAATTAATAAAATATATTGTCACTTTACCTACAAAACATTTATCATCTCCAGCTTTTTATTAATTCATTTTTACTATTTTTTTTTTTTTTTTTTTTTTTTTTTTTTTTTTTTTTTTTTTTTTTTTTTTAATTTTGTTAAACACACTCTTTTAATTTAGGTTAAAATAACATGCCAGATAACAATTATTGGAGAAGTCAAGCAACAAACATCAACGTATCATTTGTAAATTTTGCAGGACTAGTTTTGATGGTTTAACTACAGAACCATCCTCCTCAGCTGCCTAAGTGCAAATAAATGAGATAATAATGCAGGACACATAAAGTTTATCAACTAAACCAGTAGTTAAAATAAACATTGCAAAGATTTAGAATGGTTACAACAGACAGGTTTTTATTGAAAAGTTATTAAACTATGACACCATCCAATAGTCCTAGCAACAATTAATAATACACAAGCAGCAAATAAAAACAGTGCATAACAATTTTTGGCTCTTCTCTATTAAAGAGGTGCCACTTAGTGCCAAACATATGTAAAACTTTATGATTTTGTTTTGGTTTATTTAGCTATGGAAAAGCACTCTAGGGATATCTGCCTAAGGGAAGGGATGCCTTTGTGGAGGACTTCCTAAGTGAACTGGCTTGTACACACGTTACACATGGGGAAAACCATGAAAATACCTATTCAGCCAGACCCTTCACAGAATTCAAACCCAGGACCAAACTACCAGTGTTCAGCGACTTTACCACTGAGCTGCTGGTGGACCATAAAAACTTTATGAAAAAATAAACATGTAATAACAGTAATGTATCGATGTAGGTGCATAATGCAAATTTGTGCAATTCTCTGATAATTTTTTTAAAGAAAAAATGGACTGCTGTTTACATGGGCAGAATTGTTGTTCTTTCCATGTACACAGTAATCTGTTTTCATTTAAAGAATCATCCGAGAATTGAGTTCACCCAATGCATACAGAGATCTAACTTTGTTTAAAAAAATCAGAGAACTGCACACATTTAGCATCATGCACTGACTTAGCATTACAGGGAAAAGGGGATGGAGCACCAGAAATTTGCATATGCTTACACAGGTACTTGCTCCACTGCACTACTCTACAAGTCCGAAAACACCCCACAGGGTCCAAAAGGGTTGAGACACAACACCAAGCAGCGAATGATCACTGCTGTAACGTCTTAATCTATTTTATTGACATCCGCAAGTTCTGAGAAAAAGAATGACCACCTCGAAAGTTCCCACGCACAGAGTATTTCTTAGTGAATTCTCGGAAAGAGGAAGTGACCAGCAGTCACAAAACAATTTCAAGTTTTTGTTCCTTGTTGTTGTTCGAAGGGAGACATTGCTCCGTTCTCTTTCATTTATAGTTCATGTCTCAGACCACTCGTTTTGAGACCCAGATGGAATCGAAAAGTTCCCACGGCTTTTTCCCAGGCTGTCTTCATCATATCCAGTTTTAATCAAGTGCTCTCGCCAATCAGAGGCGCTTTCCAAAATTACGGACAAATAAGGATCCTGAAAGTTTTTCCGACACGCCCATGACAACTTGAACAAAATCATGGAACGCAGTTCCAGAGAGAAAAAAGTGAGAGTTAGTTGCAGTAAGTAGAGAAAGAAACTTTCTCTCGGGTTTTATAGCTCGGCTACGAGCAAATTTTTGCTTCGCTCTGCGTAGAACAATACTAATATCTCGGTCACGAGATTTACAGCGAGGTAGCCGGGTTCGTCGCTACCTTACAAAGAGCATCCTACTCGGACACAGCTCAGTCCGGCAACCACCGGTTTAGAGATTCGATTTATTCAAGACAGCCTCATCTTGAGCATACCCTCGTCTTGAACTATTTCCAAACAAGAACTTATTCACCCTACTGTGAGAACAATATTTTATAAGTTTATTTATTATTATTATTATTATTTTATTTTATTTTTTATTTATTTATTTATTTTTATTTTTTATTTTTTATTTTTTTTTTCATATAGCCTAGAAAGAACCTAAATAAAATCAGTTACGCTACCCCTTGTCTTTTGAATTCGTCACACTGCCCATATCTCCAGGACCATACCCTGTGATTGGAATCAGGCACTTCATCTGTATGTTCAGCATTTATTAATTTTGTACAAAATTTACAATTGGTACAATTTACAGTGGTGCACATAATATCATTTACAATAATTTTATTAATATAATCTGAATATAATATGCTACTATAACTTATAAATTCATAAATAAGGAATAAAATTACATAAAAATGAAATGATAGTTAAAAGGAAATAAACTTCATAATATAGTCTTTGTCATTTGAATGTCTTTTTCTTTCATAAGTTTTATCGAATTGAAATTCCTTTCCCTCCAAAAGTCTTTGTCATTTAATTTTTTTTTCTTTTACAAAAATCTTAAGTTCATATAATAATCTTTATTCTTAAAAACATACATTACCCTCATTAAACATTACACAGCTATTCATGACTTGATATAAACATGCTACCACAACAACATTTGGTACTTTGGTACACTTATGACAATTGGTGTTCCACTAACATAAAAATATCCAATATTTTTTAAAGACATATAAAACAAAATAATTTATTTCTTGGAATATTTGCTCATTATAAAAATAACATGTTGTAATGTCTCAAAAAAAAAAAAAAAAAAAAAAAAATCAAAGCAAATAAATTTCATCTGAAAAGACCTTATTCTCATAAAGCGAACCACTGTCTTGGGAAGTATCACTGAAGCAACGCAAAAAATGACTTGTAAGGCTAGAATCATCTGAAGTCTTGCAATCTAGGAGAGTTTTTTCAGAAGACATACCAGCTGCAATCTTGTTATTCTGTAAATTTCCTAAATGTTTTCAATAATTTGAATTATTCTTTATTTTCATATAACAACTAAAAAATTAGAGAAGAAATTAACATTAAATAAATAAAAAGGAAAAAAAGTGTTTATTAAACAATTTATAAATACTTTATTTTTATAAGGTACATTATTTATAATGTTACTAAAAATATTAAATAATATGAAAATAAAATTAATATTACAATTAAACATTGATATAAATCACAGGGGAAAATATACTACCTTGAGGATTTTCTGCCAAATCTTCAAGTGTTTTTTGCTTTTGGAAGGACCCCCCTAATAATTTTTGATTTTCACGCAACTGCATGTCTTGAAATTGCTGAAACTGTTCTTCACGCCATTTTCGTAAGTTTACAACAGCAGAAAAAATACCTGCCGTAGATTCTACAATAAATAAAATGCATAAAATGTAGGATAACTACATCTGATTTGAAAATAAAAATCATAATTTAGATATAAAAAGCAATTTTGTGCAAACAAGCACTAAAAGTGTGTTTTTAACATAATGCAGTGGATTCACATTTTTACAAACCTCCAATTTTGCATTTGTCCCAAAATATTCATGTTTTTTTTTTAATGGTGCTTACACATTACCACAACCACTTTAATAGAAATTGCCAAATTTTCAGAACGTGCCAAACTCTGACAACTATGCCAATAATCACGCTTCAGACATTCCATTCTCGCAATAATCCTTCAGTCAAGTAACATCGTCATATTCATTAGCATTCTCTTTGTTGTGCCCCATGTCGGAACAGCTTTTGTAAATAAATTGTAACATTTATTGCTTTAAAATCAATTTTAAAATATTATTTATAGAATTCTTCAGTAATAGAGGAAACTGCAGTAAACAATTCTGCTAGAATACAGTATAAGATGTGTTTAACAGTTAGCTAACATGCCATGCCAAATTTCTGTAATTATCTGATGTTTTTTAAGTAAAAACAGATTGCTGTGCACATGAGGAGAACATAAAAAATTACAGAAGGATTTCATGTTTTCATTTTTTTAATGTATCATGTATTCTTTCTTTAATAATTAAAATTTGCATTTAAAATTTTTAAAGTGTTTTCTTTTGATATGTTGATAATGTTTGCTGACTTATGATGAATAATGATACTTTGGAACTGTTTTTAAAAAACATTGCGAAAATCTCCAAATTGTGCCAAGGTGGTTGCGTTAATACATAAATACCTTCTTAAATTTATTCCCACAATATTTCATTTTTATGAATTTAATGACAGAAAATACATGATTTCTGAGAGCTTTAGCACAATCTTGATAAAAATATTCCAATAATAAGCATTATATTCGAAAAATATATAATTAATATTTTGCAGATTTTATATACATAAATACTTTTTATAAAGGTGCATAATAGGTAACAAACAAATATGTAGAATACAGTCAAAGGTCTTTAATCCGGACTTGTTGGGACTTTGGCGATTTCCGGATTATCGGTTTTTCCGGTCGAAATTAGAAAATTGCAACCAGAAAACTATTTGATGTGTATTCGTGATATTTATAATGTCAAGGAATTTGATTTAAATCATATCAAAGACGGAGTACATCGAGATGAAATACTACATTAGTAAGGAATTATAAGCTGAATAAAATAAAAACATCTGCCTTGAAGATAAGGATAGTGCTGACAGATCAACATCCAGTTCATTGTGCACCGCAACAATATATGCAATATTTTAAGTGAGTAGACGACACCGGTACTTTTATCAAGGTTAGCTTGAAGTCTGCGTAATTAGATATATGGATGCATAAATCAAAACTTTCATATGTGGCCATTTCAAAACATACTTTTATTCCATGATATTTTATATTAGATCACTTTTGCAAACAAGGTATTTATCCAATCATATTTAAATACGATAATTTTTATGTACACTGGTTTTAAAAGTGTGACGTAAGCATCTTAAACAGGAAAGCAGAGTAGTGTGGAGACGTTAGCAGGGTAGAAGTTACGAAAAGGAATGATGTAGTTGCTTGCAAGCTGTATTTACACTAAGTAGGTGCATAAGTAAAGTTAAGCTGTCATTAATTTTAGGTTGTTATGTAACGTGGAAAGATCTCGAATTTGGGAGGACAGCTGAACTTATGGCGAGGGGAAACCACCAAATTTTGAATAGTCAAATTTGAGGTTGCCAATTATTTGCATGCATAGCCATCATATTTTATATCTTACATATATACACAATGTGTGTGCAACAATAAAATAACCGGACAAATTAAAAAAACCAGAAGATATAATAAAAAAGTGAAAGAATAAACGTACGTTTAGAAAAAGTGAGTTTGGTTAAAGCCAGTTTAAATCGGTTATTTTCCAGTTTGCATATCAAAACATTGGTATTATTTTACTATACACAGAAGATTTTGTACAAAACAATTTGCTTCAAGATGGAACTATGTTATAACATTAAATTGTGTTACAAATTAGGTAAATCTACTATCGAAACATCATACAAATCGACTATCAAAACATCAGATGCGATTCAAACAGTGCATGGTCATGCATCGTTACACAGATCTATGAATTGTACAACCACTTTAAATATGAACATGAAAGTATTGAAGATGAACCAAAAAGTAGGGCATCCTTTTCAACTTGAAAGAATGAGGAAAATGTGTAGAAAATTCATTCTTTGATAAAAGCTGATAAACATGCAACAACTCAGCAGTTTTCAGACATACGTGAGATAAGCAAAGAAAGCTGTAGGTTAATTTCAATTAAAAATCTGGTTTAGAGTTGACTAGAGTGTACCCTTAGTATTATTGCAAAGTTGTTGTTTGATTTATGGTAGTCCAAGTAGTTGAATATTATAGAAACCTTATTATGACGTAATCGTTTGCATTATTCCGGGAAATTTTTGAATCGTGGGATGTTTTGTAAGAGCTTTTGTAGTGTGTGTTGGTTAGGAAGTACATTGCTTGTTTCATTGTTTAGATGGTAGAATGGCTGAATCTAGTAAGATTAGTTTGAAGTTTCTGTACTATTTGGAATAAAAGGGAAAAAGTGCATTAATTGACTGGTGTGTAAATGAAGGTTTACTTAGTAGCCATTTTCCGGACAGTCCAAAACTACGTAGGATATTTTTTACTTTTATTTTTGTAAATTTATGTGGTGACGTCGATATACGGATTCTAGTTCAGATAATTTTAGGAAGTTTTTGGATGCTGAAAAGAAATTTTGTGTACCACAGATTGAAGACAAAGGAATTTCTAAATAAGGTAAGTAGATATTTGCTTTGCGTAATGCATAAGAGGTTTTTCCTTTTTATGCTATTTTATTGTTTGGTTTAAAATGTAGTTCATTGAGATTATGCATTTTTTGTTTGCCTCTACTGTAAAATTGGGTGCTCCTTTGAATTTTTAAGTGAAAATGTATCGATGTGTATATGGGCAAACTCAAGGAAGTGCGCAATGCCTAGTTTGTGCAATTCTCTGATGTTTAAGTGAAAATAGGTCGATGTGTACATTAATAAAGTCAAGAAAGTGCGCAATGCCATTTTTGTGCAATTCTGGGATGATTTTTTTAAAAATGAAAATAGGTCGATGTGCACATGGATACTGAGTTTGTGCAATTCTTTGTCTTGTTATTTTGGTTTTGTGTAAATTCTGTAGTCATGTACCGCCAAAAATCGCCAAGGGGTACCCTTAAATATACTTTTACCAAAATCTGAAAATGAGAAAAGTTTGTGCTCAATTTGTGCCACAGATTTTGGCAGAACAGCAAAAAACATGACAGAAAAGCTTTCTGTGAAAATTTGCTGACTACAGCTAGACAGGACAATTTCTTAAAGTGTATCATAGCAGGAGATGAGACGTGGTGTCTACAATAAGACTCAGAAACAAAAAGACCAAGTACATGGTGGAAAGAACCATCTTCTACATTTTTATTATTTATATTATAAATTTAATATTTTATATATTTGTCCTTATAGTCATATTATAGCCACTTGTTAGTTAACTTCTACCGATATAGTGCATTAGTATTTTTAAAATTTGTAATAACTGATTTGTGTATACATTGATCATGCATGAAATACAAGAAAAAAACCATGATTAATTAGAATTTCATATATAATATGCATGCATATTTATAAGACCAAACAGTTTATTTTACATGGAAGAGAATTAGCTTTCATTAACCATTGAGGGACCGTAAATAAAATAATTTGTGGTAAAATTTTGCATGAATCGTAACTTATGGACACAAAACTGAGATTTATGATACATTTTGATGATACCACCCAGTTGAACATACATATGGGTAAAAAGCTTTTGAAAGTGATTTAAATTTAATATTATTAGTTTATGAAAAAAATTAGCAAATACAGTAAAAAGTCTGTAATCCGGACGTCCATTATCCGGACCTCAAAGCCACAAACTTACGCATGCGCGTAAAGCCAGTAAAGCGTCTACCCATGCATGCTTCCGATAGTGAAGAAAGTGACAGGGAGGTTATTGAAAATGAAAAAAAAATTTATTGACAAGTTAGTCGGTATTCTCGACACAGCAATTACAGGACTTGAACAGTGGAACTTTGTAATGAACAAGAATTATGTCTTTTAGAATAAAAGAAAGTTTAGCCACAAAAACAACAACTTACATTGAAAGAAATGTTTAATAAAGTAAACAAATAAATATTCAGCTTTTTTTTTGTAAATTTTGATACCCTTTAGATCATAATTGCTCTTTATTTCCTAAATTACAGTTTCATACTTTTAATTGTATAATTTCTCGCATGCCATCTTCCCAGATTTAAATTGATGATCTATAATCCGGAAAAAACTCTAATCTGGAATCGCCGAAGTCCCGACGAGTTACAGACGGACTGTATCGGATTACAGACTTTGTACTGTATAACACTGCATGCGCAAACCGTATCATGCTGTAATTGAACTAGTATAATGTTACAAAGAGATTAACTTAAACGAAAAATAAAAAATTGAAACACTACAACTCAGCTGAAAATTACATTGCATTTTTGAAGTTATTATATTTTATGCTTTAGATTAGGGTTCCTTAAATTTTTTTCAGATGCGATCTTTTTTATCACTGAGATTTATTCGCGACCTCCAGGACCCCATAATATTTACAAAAATTTTGTGGGACCCCATAAGTATTGCACAAATCCTACATATGCGTGAGTAAAACTGTGAATTTTTTCACTTGTACTGTAATAAACTATTGCAGTTTTAGGTCATTAACTTCTTTTTAAGACATAACAATGTGAAAAATTTTAAATAAGTAACATGAAATGACAGCAACGTGCAAAGCAAGGAAAATGACGTTTATTATAAAAGAATGCGTTCGAACGTTTCGTTTTTCTCTTTGTCTGTATTGTCTTATCTTTATCTATTTTCAGACAC